CACTGCAGGCTGAGGATTAGGGTGTTATGCCACCCTATCAACTTTTTTAATTTTTTATTTTATTTTTAATATTGTTTACATAGTTGAGAGGATACCCTCCTATGATTAGGGTGGGAAGGGTGAGGTCTGGAGGAAGATGGAAGAGACAAATGTTTTCATTCTGTTCTTTTTCTCTCCCGTGTGTGTCCTCTGAGGGAAATGGTGAGGAGCCACTCCTTGCTGTCAAGCTGTATCAGCACCCGAGGAATGGGACAGTCATTTGACGATGCCTTAGAGACCCTGATGTGGGGAGTGTTACTAGAAATTTTTTTTTTTTTTGCGCTGATGTTTACATAGTTGATTAGGGTGAGAAGGGTCAAGGGTTAGGGAGAATTGGGTGATACCATTGTTTCCACATTTTGTTTTTTCTTCTTTCTATATCTGAGGGAGAGAGAGATAAGGGGAGGAACCACACCCAGACTCCCAACCGTCTCAGTACCAGGTGACAGGAAACAGCCACCTGATGTGGGGTGACCTGATTGTGGTCCCAAGGTCCCTGATGTGGGGCCTTCTCCAAGAGTCCAGCTCAAGTGGCTTCAATTATTTGATAATTCTGAAGTACTGTAAATCTCACCACTTAAAGGACAGTGACATCCATCCAAAGAGCACCAGCTGTGCTGTCCACCTTAGAGTTTTCATTCACCCAGATATTTACTGCCAATTCTTGGCTGGGGTAGTTGACTAATTTGTTCTGCCCTCCTTCCTCTGTTATGGTACCAGATGTCCTCTGCAGGTGCCAATGGACTCCCATATCCTCCATGTGCACCTGGATATGCCATCCACTGCTCCATCTCAGCCACTGAGGAGGCCCAGCTCCGACACATGGACTCCATAGTCAGACCACAGATCCTACAATTCATCCGATGGATGGAGTTTTGAGTCCAGCAGTTCAATTAAGGGGAATCCCCAAAGAAACCCCATCTAAAGTGATCCCTGACCTGACTCTTGTGTGTGCTTGCCAGTGTGGGATCCAGTTCTTTCAGTCACCCATACCAGCCTACGCATACTCTGGTAGTTGGAATTGCTGGGTCAGTTCTGTCTAACAGTTGGGTCTCCCACACAAACCAATGGGTACTGCAGCCCAGCACGACCCTACACACCACACACTCAGCCCTCACATACACCAGCGGGAGCTGCAGCCTCATCAGAGCGGCCCTCAGTAACCCGCACTCAGTCCACCCCCAGCCCTGCTTCCTGTGCTTGCCAATACGTGCAACAGACTGATCCAATCTGTCCCACATCCCATTGAGCTCTCAAACACGTCAAAGAGCGTTAAAGCCTAGCTCAATTCAACTGACCCCATTATCCAGCCCACACTTGTGCCAGCAGGTGCCACCTCCTATCTAGCCAGGCCCACCCAAAGCCCTGGTTCTCATGCTCACTAATGGGAGTGGCAACCTGTCAGAGAAATCCCCACAGTTTCCCTACTGTGCCCACTTGCAGTAGGATCTTGCATTCTCGGATCTTGAACTCTCCAGGTGGTTCTGCAGTCTAGCTTGACAGGATTTTCCCCGAGTCCCAGCACTTGCCAGCTGATGCTGCAGCAAAACCCAACCCACTGTGGCTTATGCATGCACCAGTGGACACAGTCGGGGTTAGCTAAGTCTGGCTCTCCCTCTAACCCAGTTCACATGGAGCCAAACAGGTGTTGCAGCCCTGCCCTGCCTAGTCTGCCCTTCATCCCAGCTCTAACACTCGCCAGTGGCAGCAATAGCTCATCAGGAGCGCCCCCTGCAGCCTTCCTAATGGATTTGCACCCCTCTCCCCAGGTCTCATATATGCTAGTGAGTACTGCTGCCCAACCTGGCATGGCCTGCTCACCTCGGTATTTACCAACAGGTGCTATAGCCTGGCCCAGCCCAGCCTACATCCAGTTCCAGCTCAAGCTGGTGGGTGCTACAGCCTAGCCCAGCCCAGCCAGCCTCCAGTACCAACCCTAATGTGAACTGGCTGGTGTTTCAGCCCAACCTAGCTTGTCCTGCATCCCATCCTGCCAGTTCTCACATCTGCCAGTGGATGCTATGGACTGGTCCAGCCTGACTCACCCCCAGAACTGACCCACATGTACACCAATGGATCCATAACCTGGTCTGGTCTGGCCTTGGTTCCTGTGTTCACTGCAGGGACTGCATGCTGACAGAGTTCTCCAATCTCCTCTGTTAGAGCACCTCCCAGTGACAGATCTTATGCACACCAGTGGGTCCTTGGCCCAGCCTCATTTACTCCACCTCCTGTCCTGGCAGGGACAATGGCCTTATTCACTGGCCTATATCCAATCTGGTTTTTATGGTTGGATGCCACACCTGGTCCACACCCAGACACAGCTCTCATGTGATTCAACAAGGGCAAAGATCTAGCCCAGCCTACACCCACCCTGGCTCTCATGAGCCGTGGGGTACACCCCAGACCCAGTCCACACAGTTTGCTAACTGAAGGAGTTGGTTGCACCCAGCCTAGAGGGGTTTTGATAATTCTGAGACATTGTCAGCTTCATTGCACCAAGAATGAAAGAATCTTTCCAAAGTCTATTGGTTGACAAAGTCCACCTTAGTGCATCCACAGACCTAGACACCTACTGCAAAGCTTGGTCAGAAGAATTATCCAATCTGTTCTGTTCCCTTCCTCTGACGAGGCACTCAACATCCTCTTCTGTTGTGAATGAGCCGGCTGTCATGTCCCCTGTGTGCATCTGGACATAGCGTCAGCGTCTTTTGGCTCAGGGAGAGTGTATAGCTCTGTACATCTAAGTAGGAACACAGAGCCTTGCCTAAGGCAAGATCAGACTGGAGTGGACCACACACCTTCCTGACACTGTCCACCCCACCACACTTCAGACTCCCCCCTCTACCTGACAACTTCTCTGTCGCTGCTGCCATTGCTTGTATATTCCAAGCTCCAGCCTGGGGGCCTGGCCTCTTCCACACACAGTGAGAAGTCAGCAGCAGGACTGAAGTGACACCTTCAGTCCTTTCCACCCAGACTTCTTGGTTCTTCCAGAATCCCAGGGCTTCCCCTGAATTTCCATTCACTACTCAGCAACACCAGCTCCTTCAGTTAGCAAACCAGAGAGCCCAAAAGAAGGGACTTCACACCAGCCTTTCTCTTCCTCTTTTTTTTTGCACCCACAGCCACCTCCTCAGCTAATGACGGTGACAGGAAAGAGGCCATGACACCAATAGGACAACAGGCCAAAATCACAGACAGAAAGCTGATATAAGAAACGTGAATATGGGCCCGGCGCGATGGCACAATGGTTAAGGTCCTTGCCTTGCACACCCAGGATCCCATATGGGTACCGGTTCTCATCCCGGCAGCCCCGCTTCCCATCCAGTTCCCTGCCTGTGACCTGGGAAAGCAGTCAAAGACAGCCCAAAACCTGGGAACCCTGCACTGTGTGGGAGACCTGGAGGAGGCTCTTGGCTCCTAGCTTTGGATCGAAGCAGTTCTAGCCATTGTGGTCATTTGAGGAGTGAGCCAGCAGACCTAAGATCTTTCTCTCTGTCTCTCCTTCTCTCTGTAAATCTGCCTTTTCAATAAAAATAAACGAATCTTTAAATAATAATAATAATAAAAGGCAAGGTAAACCTAAGGAATTGTATCCATATTAAACCAAAGATTTGACAGCTAAAAATAACGCAGGATCCTAGATTTGATTATAGTATTATTTCAGTCTGTGCTTTCTGATTTTGATCATTGTGCTACATCGGGGGTGAAAAACAACAACAAGAAGGAAGCATTCATTCTTAGGAAATTCTCCCTGATAGACCTGTGAAGGGTCCGCTGTGTGCCGGTGGAACCCGTTCATCACAGGGCGGTGCTCAGGCGCCCGGGGCGACAGCTGTGCAGGCCTGCACACTGGGGACACAGCTCCTGCTGACACTTCCTGCCACCCCGGGCCCTCGGTCCTCTGAACCACTGGAGGAACTCAGTGAATGGCTGACCCCAGAGCGGTCGGTTAACTCAACAAGGTAGGATGACCTTTTCTGGACCAGGAATTCCCATTTGGAATTTTATTTACTTGAGTTTTGTATTTTGAAAGTTCTTATGTTTATTTACAGAGGCAGAGAGAGATACACAGAGAAAGACAAAGGCCTTTCTTCTGCTGGTTCACTGCCCCAGATGTCCACAACAGCTAAGCTGGGTCAGGCAAAGACAGGAGCCAGGGGCCTCTTCTGGGACTCCCACATGGATCCAGGGCCATCCTCGGCTGCCTGCCAGGTGCATTAGCAGGGAGCTGGATCAGGAGCGGAACAACCAGAAATCAAATCAGCCCTCACGCATCACAGGCAGCTGCCTAACCCACTGCGTTACACCGGTCCCTTGGACATCGTGCCCTGACTGCCTCCCACAGACTTCTGCAGTGGAGGAAAGCAAAGATGGGGGCGTGGAAGCTTCCTAAATGCAGTGTTTTCTGCAGATAATCCAGACTGCGATATTTACAGCAGAGTGTATTCAGTTTCATATGTTCTCTTCCAAAGGACAGCCAAGACCTCCCCCAAACCATTCCACAGAGGGATAAAAAGGAAGCTCTGCAAGGATCCCCCTGAGGACCAAAAGTCCCCAGGGACCCCCACCCAACCTCCCAGGGAGAGCGGTTCCAACCAGGACAACTTTCAGCTCCTCTGAGAAGCATTGTCCCCTGAGAAGACGAACAGGGCAGTCTCCCAGCACCCACTCCTCTGTGCCAGGCCCTGCACCTCAAGCACAGGGACAGCCACCTTGCCACTCCCTTTTCTAGAAAAAGAGAACCCACATCCACAATGAGAAAAGCTGCCACTGCCCCCCAGGGGCCCCTGCTATTGCCTACCCTCCAGCCACACAGCCCAACTCCCCCCACCTCCACTTCCCCAAGGGTTGTCAGAGACACAAAGGCCCCTCCCTCTCCCCCCATGTCCCTCCACTCGCCCCCCCTCCACCATCACTAGGGTGTCCAGGACATTGTGCGACTCAGGAAACAGCTCAGACGCGAGGTTTGCAGCAGGCCGAGCAGGAGGAGGAAGGGCCAGTGGGAGCAGAGGAGGTGGCCCTGGCTCAGTGAGGGCTCTGAGGGTCCCTTCCCGAAGAGGGTCCAGGCTGGGCTGGAAGCACAGGCCCTGGAATGCAGCCACCTCCTCTGCTGCTGCTGCTACTGCTGCTGCTACTGCTGGGTTTCCCAACTGTCATGACAAGAGGTGAGGCAGGGGGTGGGAATGCAAAGGGACCCAGCTCCCTGTGGAGACTGTCAGGGAGGGTGGGGGAAAGGCCTATAAGCCCAGGCCTCCCCAGGGCCCTGCCTGAAGGAACTTCTCAGCCTTCCCATAGAAACAGCCTCCAGGGAGAGGCGACCCTGGCACTGGAAGTGCACAGCGGCTTTGGCTTGGAGCCAGGCATGGGGACTGCCTAGGGGGGCGAGGAGGGGTGCACACCCCAGTCAGCCCTGGAAACAAGAGGCAGCAGGCTCTTGCAGACTTATGGTGGGAAGGGGGCAACACACTGACCACCTCTCAGGGAGGGAGATGAGTGGGGAGCTAGAGATGGAGACTCGGAAGATCAAGGGCCCAGCCCTTTCCCAGCCCAGTTGTCCCCACCCCCCAGATGGCTCTGTGTTAGGCCCTTCCGGGAGGAAATCCCTTCCACGACCCAGCCATTCACCTCCCTCTCCACCCCCCCTCCTGCTCTCTGTTGTCCCGCTTCCGAGGGAGGAGCCTGAGGCGGCCAGAGAACAAACAGGAAGGGGAGGGGTGGGGTTTAGTAACTGGAGGCCTGAGCCATTGAGGGCTCAGGCATGGGGAGCACGTGGGCACAGGACACAGGAGCGTGAAGGACACCCTCTAGTCAGGGCAGGTGTGAAGGCTGCTCTGGGCAGGCCTCCCTGGGACACCTTGAAGAGGAACCCAGAGGCAGCACCTGGCTCCACCTCCTCTCCCTGTCCACCCCTAGGGCTGCTGTGCGGGAGTTTCCCAGACCCCTGTGCCAACGGAGGCACCTGCCTGAGCCTGTCTCAGGAAAAAGCGACCTGCCAGTGAGTGCACCTTGTGAGAGAGACTAGAGAAAAAGGAGGAGGCAGGGTGGGGGGGGTGCAGGTGGGAAAGAGAGAGGAATGAGTGAGAGATGGCAACATGTGAAGGCCTGGAAGGGAGGAGGAGAGGGACCAGTGGAGTGAGCTCTTCCCTCCCGTCCCCTGCCCAGGTGTGCTCCAGGCTTCCTGGGGGAGACATGTCAGTTTCCTGACCCCTGCCAGGACGCCCAGCTCTGCCAGAATGGAGGCAGCTGCCAAGCCCTGCTGCCGGCTGCACCGGACTCCCCCAGTCCCCCCTCTCCGTCAGCCCCCAGCTTCTCCTGCATCTGTCCCCCTGGCTTCAGTGGCGAAAAGTGCCAGTCCCAGCTCGAAGACCCCTGTCCTCCCTCCTTCTGTTCTGAAAGGGGCAGCTGCCACATGCAGGCCTCCGGCCACCCACAGTGTTCCTGCCTGCCTGGCTGGACAGGTAAGTGCCGACAGGGGCAGTGAGGAGGAGGAAGGCCGAGCAGTGGGCTAAGCTGTGAGGTAGGAAAAGCGAAACCGGAGCCTGGGACGTTGGGAGCCTCTGACGACAAAGGCCGTGAGACAACACGCCAGTTCCCTCCTTACCCAAGACTGGCTTTCACCAGGGTGCTTGTGCTGATGGCTAAAAGGTTTATATATTTCCAAACTAGCTGAAATTTTTGCAGAGTACCATGTACCCTTTCAGCACACCATCCCGATTCCTCTCCCAGCTGCTTCAGCCTCCCTGGGATCCAGTAGTCTGAGGGTTGCCCACCTGGCACCCCAGGGTGCCTCCTCACTCTTAGCATCGAGGAGTCCCTATTCTGCCTAGTGGGTGCCCAAGGGATCACCTAGAAAGAAGGTCCCGGTGGGAGGCATAATGGAACTGGGAGGGATCAGCCCTGGTGAGATCAGTGGGAGCCCATCCTAGGGGTGTGACCTGGAAGCCTGGGGCAAGCTCTGGTTTTCAGAGCAGGAGCTTGGGGCGGCCCCGGGGTCCCAAATGCAGGGTTGCATCCTCTCTGCGTCCCTGATTGTCCACTGACAGAGACACTAGCATCCACACTCCATGAGGTGGTTGAGAGGATGAAGGGGGACAGACAGACGATGCTTGGGAAGTGCCCCAGGGACAGGTGCCATGCCCCTCCCCTACTGCTGCGCTTACCACAGTGCCCACGCTGTGAAGCAAGTTTCCTTAGTGCTTTCCAGGTGGTTACACTCAGGACATCAGTGTCAGGGAGCCACAATAGCGCACCTGAGGATCAGGGTCAGCTGTGGCAGTGCAAGGTGCCAGCCTAAGTCTCCTGCCTTCAGACGCTGAGTGGCACCCACTGCCCCAAGGAGGTGACCACTAAAGGAACCCCTTGTCCCCAATTTTCCCAGGCAGGGCCCATTAGCAGTACTCCATCATTAGGTACAAATTTGAGGTTTATGTTTGTTCCTGATATATCCTCCCAGGGCATGGGAAAACTGAGGCAAGGGGAGATAGAACAGAACAAAAAGAAGTGCAAAAACAGAAATAGTCTAGAGAGAGCTGTAACCTCAGATGGGCTAGAACCCAAGCTGGAAAGCGCTCCTTCCGCCCTCTGCCTCAGGTGAGCAATGCCAGCTTCGAGACTTCTGCTCTGCCAACCCCTGTGTCAATGGAGGTGTGTGTCTGGCCACGTACCCCCAGATCCAGTGCCGCTGCCCACCGGGCTTTGAGGGCCACACCTGTGAGCATGACGTCAACGAGTGCTTCCGTGACCCCAGCCCCTGCCCCAAAGGTGCCTCCTGCCACAACACCCTGGGCTCGTTCCAGTGCCTCTGCCCTGCAGGGCGAGGGGGTCCACGCTGCGAGTTCTGGGCGGGATCCTGCCCCGACAGAGGCTGTCTGAATGGTGGTACCTGCCAGCTGCTGCCGGGGACAGACTCTACCTTTCACCTGTGCCTCTGCCCACCAGGTGTGTGCTCTCAGGATTTTCTCACAGCTCATCTCTCTGAGCAGGGAGGGTGGTCTCTCTTAGCCTTGCCCTCCTCTTCTCCCCAACAAGCTGACCCCTTGACCCTGCCAGGCTTCACAGGCAAGGAGTGTGAGGTGAACCCAGACGACTGTGTTGGGCACCAGTGTCAGAATGGGGGAACCTGCCAAGACGGGGTAGGCACCTATAGCTGCCTCTGCCCGGAAACCTGGACAGGTAAGTTGTTTAAGTCACCAGGGGTACAGAGGGCCAGCCCCATGACTTCACGAGCTCCCTGATCTGGCCCTGGTCCCCTGCCCATCCCTTTACCCCCACAGGCTGGGACTGCTCAAAAGACGTGGATGAGTGTGAAACACAAGCCCCCATGCGCTGCAGAAACGGGGGCACCTGCCAGAACTCAGCAGGCGGCTTCCATTGCGTGTGTGTGAGTGGCTGGGGGAGCGCCGACTGCGAGGAAAACCTGGACGACTGTGCTGCGGCCACTTGTGCCCCAGGTTCCACCTGCGTTGACCGTGTGGGCTCCTTCTCCTGCCTCTGCCCGCCTGGACGCACAGGTGTGGGGACAGTGAAGCCAGCAGGCAGGGAGATTCCGAGGGGAGCACTGGAGGCTTCCACTAGGTGGCCTCCGAGAGCCTCACCAGCCCTACCCCTGCAGGCCTCCTGTGCCACCTGGAAGACAGGTGTCTGAGCCAGCCATGCCATGGAGAAGCCCAGTGCAGCACCAACCCCCTGACAGGCTCCACGCTCTGCCTCTGTCAACCTGGCTACTCAGGGCCAACCTGCCACCAGGACCTGGATGAATGTCAGATGGGTGAGGTGTCCCCATACCACACTACACCCTGAGGTCCTGGCCCAGCTTTAGGAACCTCTGCATTGAAATTAGACAAGAGCACACTGGTTTCCAAATTAAGAACTGAGTCCCTCATTTTCCTAGGATTTGTCTGGTTTGGGTGTCTCAACCCTGGCTCTCCCAGACGTACCCTCTTTTGTCTTACCCCATCTTAGAGACACAAGTTCCTGCCCCAGGATTATCTTATCTCCCGGCACCCAGCCTCGTGCCTCCACCCTGACCCTATGCCTCCTCCCTGACCCCCTTCCCACAGCCTGGCCTCTGCATCCTCTGGCCCCACCTCTTGACTCCCAGCTCGTCTCTCCTCCCAGCACAGCAAGGCCCCAGTCCCTGTGAACACGGTGGCTCCTGCCTCAATACCCCCGGCTCCTTCCACTGCCTCTGTCCACCTGGCTACACCGGCTCCCGCTGCGAGGCCGATCACAACGAGTGCCTGTCCCAGCCCTGCCACCCAGGCAGCACCTGCTTGGACCTACTTGCCACCTTCCACTGCCTCTGCCCACCAGGTGCCAGCAGGATGGGGTCTTGGTGGGCAGGAAGGAAGGCAGGATATTGACCTGAGCCCAAGGGACATTGCTCCTCACAGCAAGCACAGCCTTGGGCCAGTAGGGCTCAGTTTCTGCTCCCTCATGCCCAGATGAAAACACGCTAGGAAGGCTAGCACAGATGGAAGTGAGGTTGCACATGGCTCAGTCGACTCTAGGGGGCTGTCTTTCCTTTCATTTTATCATGGAGTGCACAGCCCGTGGCAGGTGGAAGGGCAGTTAAAATTCCTCTGCTCAGGCATCCCAGAACCAGAGTAGCTTGCTTTGCACCAAGTACAGTGTGAAACTCTTCCATGCCTTCTCTTTTCAACAAGCTATGAGTCTACCTTGTCACTACACCTATTGCGCAGAGAAGTGAAATGACCTGTCCAACATCACCCAGCTAGCATGTGGCATTGCCAAGATTCATGCTGGGGGCTCAGTAGTTAGAACCTCTTCGTTGCCTGGCCTCTGGGAATGGAGTAACACCGAAGGATGATGGCTCAGGCCACCCACAGACAAGGCCAGAAGAGTAGAACTGTCCAGAAACCCAAGGCACAATGTTGTAGATAGCTAAGACCTTCAGGGCAAACTCCCTTGATTCAGGGTGAAGTCTAGGAGAGCCAGTGAGGCCAAAGCAACAGAGCAAATGCAGGAACCACACAGCTTCCCGGTGTCCTTCCAGTGCCCCCACCGTGGACTTTCCAACCTGGAGGACCTAACCAGGAAGGAGCAGGAGGGACTCACTCCCTATCCCCAGTCCACCTGGCTCCTTTGTACCCTGGGGAGTCCTCCACAGGGAGCCTGGCTCTGTGTACACAGCACTGTCCCCAGAGGCACCTTCCCCAGCCCGCCTCCCTGTCCCCAACAAGTCCCCTACTTCCTGACCTTTCACCCCAGAAGGAGGCAAAGTACAGGCCAGAGGAGAACAGGAACCCAGGATCATGGAGTTGGGCCCCCAAGCAGATGACAGTGGCTCACTGGGCAGGTTTAGTTCTAGAACACTGGTGTCCTGGGCAGAGGGAGCAGCCGAGGCAGGGCACACCCAGCTGAGCCTCTCCTCTCCAACATCCGGCCTCAGGCCTAGAGGGACGGCTGTGCGAGGTGGAGATTGATGAGTGTGCCTCAGCTCCTTGCCTGAACCATGCTGACTGCCATGACCTGCTTAACGGCTTCCTGTGCGTCTGCCTGCCCGGTGAGCTGCCACACCTGGCCCAGGCCTCCAGATCTCCCAGTTCAGCCCCAGCAACGGCCTTAGGCCCCTTGAGTGAGGCTCTAGCCTGGCCTGGGAGTCGTTGTTTCTGTCCCCCCATCCACCTCATCCCTGTCCTACTAACATAATTGGGTCCTTCCACTCGTACCCCGAGATGGGTTCCATTACTATTCCCCTTTAACAGGAGGGCTGGAGCCCAGAAAGGCTGGAGAGCTGGCCCTGCATCACACAGCTACCTTTTCCATATCTCCCTCCTGTCACCCCATGCTCACCTGCCCTAGGTGTATCCTCTGGGAAGCCCGACAGGTTCACCTCTGTATACCTCATCCTTCTCTCCCCGCCCACTCCCTGCCCCCCAGGATTCACAGGCACCCGCTGTGAGGAGGACATGGATGAGTGTAGAAGCTCTCCCTGTGCCAATGGTGGGCAGTGCCAGGACCAGCCTGGAGCTTTCCATTGCAAGTGTCTCCCAGGTACGCTGAGATTCAGATGCCGGTTGTGGGGAACGGGGTAGGGGCAGATATCTGTGCAGGTCGCTGAGTCTTCCACTGCTGTGCCCCAGGCTTTGAGGGGCCGCGCTGTGAGATGGAGGTGGACGAGTGCCTGAGCGGGCCCTGCCCCCCCGGAGCCAGCTGTGTTGATCTCCCAGGAGCCTTCTTCTGCCTCTGCCCCACTGGCTTCACAGGTCAGCAGGGTTGGGGGCGGTGCAGCAGAAAGGCCTTGAAGGATACTGGAGTCCATTAGGGGTAGAGCAGAAGTCCTTAGTGGGTGTCAGGATGTGAGAACAGAATGCCAATGCCATCCTTTAAAGTTAATTCAGTACAAAAACCACACAACCATGCAGCCACGGGGACAAGGGCAGCGGTCACTGTAAGGCCCACAGTGGACCAAACCTGAATGGCCAGCGGGGGACTCAGGGACAGAGGATGGGCTTAAAGGGCAGCCATGCACCTGCTCACTTAGCAAGCAGCTGTGAGGCACTGACTGCACCAGACAAAAAGTTCAACAACAGAATTGCTGTCCTCAGCGGCTTTAAATCAAATACAGAGACCAGCACTTTCCCTGTTGATTGTGGGCTCAGACAGGTGTTCTGAGAGGGGAATGTACCAGATTCTATTCAAGCCCTGAGGCCCAAACAACCCAGGCTAAAGGGACAGGAAGGCTTCATGAAGGAGGTAATGGCTAAGCCGTGTTGAAAACGGATCAGGAGTTTATCAAGACAGAAGAGAGGCAGTAGGTTTTAGTCGGAGATAACCCTGTGGTCAAAGGCACAGAGGGGAGGAAAACAGCCCACTGAAGGACCTGCAGGAGAGGCAGAGCTCGGATGCAACGGGGTTAAGAGAGAAAGCGAACCATTGTCAAGGGCCTTGTCACAGTGACTCCACAGTGTCACTGTGAGGCAGTTAGATGCTGTCCAGGAGGCAGCAGGGAGCCACTAGAGAGCGGGTTCATGGGAAGTGCACGAGTCATGCTGAAGAAGAGGACAAGGAGGGTTCTGCTTCCTCTCTGACCTGCCTCCCTACCCCAGGCCAGCTCTGTGAGGCTCCCCTGTGTGCCCCCAACCTGTGTCAGCCTGAGAAGAGCTGCCAGGATCAGGAAGACAAGGCCCACTGCCTCTGCCCTGATGGGAGCCCCGGCTGTGCCCCTGCTGACAACTGCACCTGCCACCATGGGCGCTGTGAGAGGTGACTCCCCCCACCCCCAGATTCTCCCTCTTGGTTCCTTCCCCTCAGCCCTCCTCAACTCAGGTGGGGCAGGGCGGGTCGAGGGAAACAAGCAGTAAGAACAGGAAGGAAACAGCCAAGCTTGCAGGGCATGCTGGGGTGGAGACTCAGCCAGGCCATGTTCAAGGAGGAGCTCAGACTTCATGGGGGAAACAGAGCGGAGAGAAGAGCTCCAAGTCCCAGGACCAGCTCATCGTTCACTCAGTGCCACTGAGCTCTGCTTGGCGTGGACACTGTTCCAGGCACAGAGCCACAGAGACAGGAGGCAGGCCACAGGGAGCTTCCACTCCAGTGGCAAATAGAAAGCACATAAGCAGCAAATTAGAGAAGGCACACACACATATATGCATACACGTACATATACACACAAGCATATGCAAACATATACACATACACGTTATGCATAGTTGGATATGCATAACATGCATAAACATGTGTATATATGCATATATGTGCGTATGCATATGCATGTATGTGGATATACAATGCATGCATATACGCATATACCTATACTGGCATACGTGTACATAAACATGCATGTGCATATATATACATGCATGCACGTGCATATAAACATGCACACAGAGATGTCTGTGTGTGCATGTACATATACACACAAGAGAAAGTGAGCAGGAGGAGGTTGTGAAGAGGGAAAAGGTGATGCTGACAGCAATGTCACTGAAGGCTGTGACCAGCAAATGTCGAGGCCAAAGATGTCCAACCCTTAGTAAAAAGCAAGGATTCACTTAAGAGGAGAAACTCTTTTTCTTTCTATGACCAGATCCTCCTGTGTATGTGATATGGGCTGGACAGGACCTGAGTGTGAGGTGGAGCTGGCAGGCTGTGTCTCTGCACCCTGTGCCCACGGGGGCACCTGCTACCCCCAGTCCTCTGGCTATAACTGCACCTGCCCCGCAGGCTACACAGGTGAGGCCCTCTCTAAGCCACAGACACTATGAGCCAGTCACCCTTCCACCTGACCCAGTTAAAGGCAAGGCATGTGTCCAAAGATTCTAGGTCTCAGTCACTACCAAAGAGAACTGGGCATGGGCTGCAGAGGGTCACAGGTGACATGCAGGGTGGCGGTGGTACATGTGTGAGGGAGGGAGGAATAGAAGAGATTGGATGTGGGAGAATAGTAGGGTGGGAAGGAAGGGGGCAGAGGGAAAGACCCACCTGTTTTTCTCAGGGCCCACCTGTAGTGAGGAGGTAACAGCTTGTCACTCAGAACCCTGTCTTAACGGTGGTTCCTGTAGCCCCAGCCCTGGGGGTTACTCCTGCACCTGTCCTCCAAGCCACACGGGACCTCAATGCCAAACCAGCACAGACCACTGTGTGTCAGGTAAGTGTCACTGTGTCCCATGGGATGGAGGGACTGGGCAGGGTGTGCTAGAGCCATCTCCCTAAAGAACTGATTGGATGGTGTGAGCTGTTGCTCTCTGGTGAGGGACGGGGGTGAGTGTCCTGTGTGCAGTGTGAGGTCACAGGCAAAGAACAAAAAGAACCATCACCTCTCTCCAGCACCGTGCCTCAATGGAGGCACCTGTGTGAGCATGCCAGACACCTCCTTCTGCATCTGTGCACTGGGCTTCCAGGGCCCACGCTGTGAGGGAAGGACTCGCCGCAGCTGTGCAGACAGGTGAGCGGAGCAGAGACCCCAGGATGAAGGAAGGGGGTCTCAATCCCCACCCCTCGTCTCCCCACCCCTCCTCTTCCTTTCCCCTTGGGCTCCAGGCTACCTCCAGGTCCACCCCTTTACTCCTGCTTCCCCTTCATCCCATTTGGCCATCTCCGCAGTGGCTGATTCCCAGCGCATCACACTCCCTCCTGCATGTTCCCCAGACCTTCCTACTGCACCTGTCTACCTTCTTCCACCCTGTCCCTGTCTTGTCCAGTCCCTGTAGTAACCAGGCAACCTGCCAAGACAGCCCTCAGGGTCCCCGCTGCCTCTGCCCACCTGGCTACACGGGAGGCAGCTGCCAGGTGAGCTGAGAAGGGACAGGGAGGGCAGGGAGAGCTCCAATCAGTGGGGTTTGGGGGATAGAACCTGGGCATCGGGAAGCTTGGGAGAGAAAGGTATAAGGATCTCTGAGCAGGAGTGCAGGATGAGGTTTGCATGGAGAGGGAAGTACTGAATGAACATCTAACTCCAGGGACTGCGCTGGGCTGGGAATATCAAAGGAAACCAGAGAGGGTCATCGAACCCCAGGCCATTCGGGAGAGAGCTGCAGGAGTTAGGACAGGAGGAGGCATAGTTGGCAGGGGACCACCTCCAGGCTCTCAGATCTGATGTCCTATCCTGTCTCGTGTTCCCTCCCAACCCCCAGACACTGGTGGATCTCTGTGCCCAGAAGCCATGTCCACTCAACTCCCGCTGCCTCCAGGCTGGACCCTCCTTTCACTGCCTGTGCCTTCAGGGATGGACTGGGCCTCTCTGCAACCTGCCACTGACTCCCTGCCAGAAAGCTGCGCTGAGCCAAGGTACCAGCCCGAGGGACAACTGGGGCGCAGAGGAGGACAAAAGGGTGTCCACCAGCAGAGAGGCAAAAACCACACCGACCAGTCATGGTTACTGAGTCCACGGTTCAGCACCCAGGGAAGCCCAGCACAGCTGAGCCACTGTCACATGCTGAACACCAGGTCAGCAACCCCAACCAGCCAGTGAGCAGGCTCCGGTCTACACAACCACCAGGGACTCACTGTGAAACAACCCAGTTGAGTCATGATCATCACAGCTATGCACTCCACCTCACTTTTTGCAAATGAGTTATTTTTTTAGTTATTTGAAAGGCAAAGTTACAGAAAGAAGAGACAGAATAGTCTAACCACAGATTCACGCCTCAAATAGCTACAATGGCAGGAGCTGGGCAAGGCTAAACCCAGAAGCTGTGAACTTCTTCTGGGTCTCCCATATAGATGCAAGAGCCTGAGCATTTGAACCATCCTCTACTGCTTTCCCAGTCGCAGGGAGCTAGCTCAAAAGTGGAGCAACTGGCACTAGTACTCATGTGGTATGTGGCATGGCAGGCAGAGTCTTAACCCACTACACTACAGCACCACCAACCCCCACCCCCCCCACCCCCGACTTCACTCACTTAAGCTCTGGTCTGAGAGGAGCTTGGGAAAGAGACTTGTGAGGTCAGGGCATGGCTGACAGAATCAATCACAGGGAGAGAAGAGCAAAGATGCAAAGTTCGGGAGACACAAGGGTCCCTGGCCAAGCCACACATCCCCACTTGAAGGTTCCCTCCCATTCTTTGATCATTATTTGATCTAAACCAAGGAAACAAGTATTATGTTTGCAATTTCCTAATAAACTTAAAAAGAGACTTTCTGCAGCACTGGCAGAAAGGACATGAAAGAGGGTTCCCACCCGGGATGGTAGCAGCCCCAAACCCTCTCTCATAGGGTCTGGTGACATCGGAACTACAGTCAGGAGCCCTGGGTGATACTCAGAGATAAAAGGGTTGTAAATCTCCTTTTGGACTCAGGAGAGAAACTTTCTCTGGTCCTTATCTAGTTCCAGCCTTGGCTCCCAGGTCTGTCTTACACCGACCATCAGGGTTGCTCATGAGCCCCAAAATTAGTTCAGATAGACAGAGACTAACAAAGGTCAGCTAGTTGATAATCACTCAGCTTGTGCCTTACTGATCAGGCTTCCTATTTGGCTTTTCAGGTAGAGAGAGACATAGATATAGATATAGAAAGTCTGGAACAGCCAGGGAAAAGGCCAACTAGCTCAGCCTGTACTTACTGGCCAGGCTCCCTATTTGCGTTTCCTGGACTTTACTAGGTAGGGTGTAGAGTTAAATTCTTCCTCACTCACTGGGAGGTTGGGGATTTCCCTGCTCACCTGCCTAAAATTTTTCTATTCTTCAGTTGTTAAAATGCAAAGTTCTGTAAAACCATGCTTAATCACTATACACTGCAAAGTTTAAATTGTGGCTTAATTTTCTTCCCCCCCAAAACTTTATCAACTTATGAGTGTTAATGCTAAACAAGATGTAACAGTATAGAAACTTTGATGTTAAGTTTGTACTTAGCTGTTATATATATGATGGATGCTGATGTTGATGCTTGAAAAAAAAGAAAAAAATAATTCTACCCTCAAAATAAAATTAATAAATCTTTTTTAAAAAAGAAAGAAAGAAAGAGGGCTCATGGGGATGGGCGGGGAGGAGGGGGGCAACCTGATGCTTTTATCCTTTGAGTGTCAGCAGATGCTAACTTCCCAAGCTCAGAGCGGGGCTCATGCAGGAGTGTCCACAGCCTCTTTTCCCAAGGTCAGGGGCCCTGACATTTATCCATCTATGTTCTGATTTCTCTTGCCAGGCATAGAAGTCTCCTCCCTGTGCCAGAATGGAGGCCTCTGCGTGGACAGCGGCCCCTCTTATTTCTGCCGCTGCCCCCCTGGATTCCAAGGCAGTTTGTGCCAGGATAAAGTGAACCCCTGTGAGTCCAGGCCTTGCCAGCATGGGGCCACCTGTGTGGCCCAGCCCAACGGGTACCTCTGCCAGGTGAGAGGGTCTAGAGAAGAGTCAGCAGGGGGGGGTGGCAGAAGAGACTGGAAAAGGCTAGATGGGGAAGAGAGCAATAGGGAGCAAGAACCCCACGTGTCCAATTCCTCCTTCCTCCACCCGACACAAGCAGGCAACCCCAGACACACCATTCTACCCTCTGCCCGGGGCCTTCCTCAGCACCTGTGACCAGATCCGTGTTGCATACCACCAGCCTCCCAATTGCTGTCTGCCTCTACGCTGTCCTACAACTTCACTCTGTGCCCATTCCTTTGCCAAAAAGGTTTGGCTGGCCTGTCGCTGCCCTGCCTGATACTCTGGAGGAGTTGCCCACTTCTCTTCAGAACAGCCCAGCACAGCCCAGCACTGACTGCCTCGTGGGCCTCATCTGCCCCCATCCCCCAGCCTTTCAACTCTCTGCCACAGCAGCATAAGCATGCCACTGGCTTCTGGGCACACGACAATATGGAGTCACACCTCCTGGCCTGTGTCCTGGTTGTTGTATCTGCCTGGAACAACCTTCCTCACCCATCTTTCACAAGGCGGTGCCTAGGAAGTGTCCTCAACATCTCCCCCTAATTCTGCCAAACAAGATCCTCACATTAGTGGTCCAAATCCCCAGGCTCAGAGAGCCAAGTTAGGGTTCAAGCCCAAGCCGCCCAAGGCCTGCACTTGGAGCACAGGATCCCAGCTTTCCACAGAAAGCACAGCACAGTTCCCCAACCCCCTCTTTCTTCCCCATTTCCTTTGTGAACATTTCCAAACACATCCAGAAATAACACACCACTGATCAATAGTGACCCTCCCTCTTTCACAGCACACCCACCTCCAGAGCTTTCCAGCCCCCCAGCCTCACTTACTATCTCTAGCCACGCCCCCGTCACCTGTGCCAGCACATTCCTGCACACGTGCATGCCTTTTCAGTGACCCCTTTCTCTCTAGCAGAGCTGCATGAAGCAATCAAATAATGGTTATGGGTTTTGGTTATGGAGCTACAAGTCAAAGTCTCTTAATCTTTCAGACATTGCCATTTTTTCATCTGTAAAGTGGAGATCAAATGAGGTCATCCCCATAAAGTGTTGCTGGGAAGGCTTTTATAAAGTTCTGTGTAAAAAATCATGCAACAAACGCCATCTCTGGTTGACTAAGAGCTTTGTAGAAACAAGAATGATCTCTAGTTTTCTTGCTATTCCTAGTTCTTAAAACAGTGTCTGGCACCACATAGACATTTAATAGCTGCTAGAAACTTGTAAAGTATGAGAAAGCTTCGTGTGCTGGTCCAGAAAGGAGGTTTTTACCAAAACAGAAGCTGAGCTGAGAGACTCTGATTGTGCGGAACTGGGGAGAGTTAAGTTGTGTGCTGCTGCATGATCATGGGTCATGTGGTGTTGAGACAGAAGGGTCAATCCGTGCATGGCGGTGAGGGATGCTGAGTCGGCTGATACTGTTGAGCTGGAAGGCAGGCAGCCAGGCAGCTGACCTGAGCTGGATGCCTCAGAGTAGTGTCCAGGCTTACCTGTGGGTTCCCTGCCTGACTCTGCCTGCAGTGTGCCCCAGGCTACAGTGGACAAAACTGCTCAAAGGAACCTGATGCCTGTCAGTCTCAGCCTTGTCACAACCATGGGACTTGTACTCCCACACCTGGAGGCTTCCACTGTGCCTGCCCTCCAGGCTTTGTGGGGCTGCGCTGTGAAGGGGACGTGGATGAGTGCCTAGATCGGCCCTGCCACCCTACTGGCACCTCAGCCTGCCACTCTCTGGCCAATGCCTTCTACTGCCAGTGTCTGCCTGGATATACAGGTGAGTCAAGGCAGATCTTGGAGATCCCTACAATCCTGCCCCATAGGCAGCCTTGGCATCTCGCCCAGCCCCTTCCTCCACACCCAGCCCACAGGAGATGCCCCAGGAGGCCTTTGCCTCTCCAGCTTCTGCTGGGTCAGCTCCTTGAAATGAGGCAGGGACCTGCTCAATGTGATGCTTGCTCTTCCCCCGACACACAGGGCGGTGGTGTGAGGTAGAGACAGATCCCTGCCAGAGCCAGCCCTGCTCCCACGGAGGGTCCTGTGAGGCAACAGCTGGACAACTCCCAGGCTTCACTTGCCACTGTCCCAAGGTAAGAGACTACAAAGCTGCTTCCGCTGATGGAAGGCAAGGATGGCTGAGCCAGAACCTAGAGGGAGGCGTGGGGACGCATCACAGTGCACACTGCTGCTGGGGTCAGCCAACTCAAGAGCACAGTGATGCAGTCTCCCAGTAAGCAGTGGGGAAGGCAGGATCCACTGGTAGAGTGGACGGAATGTTCAGAAATCACAGATGTCAAAGGGACAGTAGCCAGCTCCCCCAGGACGAGCTGGGCAGCTTAGAGACGTTCTTTAATTCTCTATATGTGTTCATGGACATCAGATGCACGAGCTTGATTATTTCATCATACACTCACATTGGTCTGTTCCTGGCATTCATTAAAAAAATTTATTTTTATTGGAAATGCAGATTGACAGAGAGAAAAGCCTTCCATCTGCTGGTTCACTCCCCAGAGGGCCACTAGGGGTGGAGCTGAGCCCATCCAAAATTAGCAGCCAGAACTTCTGAGTTTCTGATGCAGGTGCAGGGTCCCAAGGCCTTAGGCCATACCCCACTGCTTTCCCAGCCTACAAGCAGGGAGCTGGATAGAAAGTAGAGCTGCCAGGACACAAAATGGCACCTCTGTGGGATGTCAGCACTACAAGGCAGAGGATTAGCCTGTTGAGCCAACACACCAGCCCCTTTGCCTGGTATTCCTATTTTCTTATTCTCACACTTTAATATCCAGGAACATACCCAATTACAATATTAACAACTTAGAGCTACTTAACGTTCTCCTCTATGCTGTTCTCCCTCAAGAGGAAGACATTTAATTCTATCTCCAAGCATTAAGATGATATGTTAGTTCCTGCCTGTTAACTATGTAGGCTTCTAGGACTTGCATTTTGATGCTGTAGGGACATGGCTGTATTCACCCATCCTTACAAGATGTCCTTGTGGTTCGAACACCCACAGAATGACTAACTTGATGGTCTCCAGGATCCTCCATATATATGAGAATCAAGGCACCTCTGTGCTATCCTAAATCAGGGTAGTCTGCATAGATGGGGAGTACACAGAGCAACACAAGGGCTGCCCTTACTGTCTCTCATCCTCTCCACAGGGTTTCGAAGGCCCCACCTGCAGCCACAGAGCCACTCCCTGTGGCCCCCATCACTGCCACCATGGAGGCCTGTGCCTGCCCTCCCCTAAACCAGGCCTGCCACCCTTCTGTGCCTGCCTCAATGGCTATGGGGACCCTGACTGCCTGACTCTGCTGTCCCCTCAAGGCTGTGGTCCCCCATCTCCATGCCTACATAATGGCAGCTGCTCAGAGACCCCCTGGCTGGGAGGCCCAGGCTTTCGATGCTCCTGCCCTCCTGATTCCCCTGGGCCCCGATGTCAGAGGCCTGGCACCCAGGGGTGTGAGGGCAGAGGTGGAGACGGAGCCTGTGATGCAGGCTGCAGTGGTCCAGGAGGAAACTGGGATGGAGGAGATTGTTCTCTAGGGGTCCCGGACCCCTGGAAAGGCTGCCCTTCCCACTCGAGATGCTGGCTTCTCTTCCGGGATGGACAGTGCCACCCGCAGTGTGACTCTGAAGAGTGCCTGTTCGATGGCTATGACTGTGAGACTCCTCCAACGTGCACGTGAGCTTAAACCCTTGGGAAGGGGAAAGCTAGAGAGGGCAGTGAGGGGAGGACAACAACCATGGGTGCCCCTGAGGTAAAGTGAGGCCTTAGCCTCCAACTTAACCACCACCGTGGAATGGGCATAGTGGGGTGACCTGAGGTCTGGTATGGGGCCAGGCCTTTGTCTGGGCTCCTTGACCCATGGGAGGTCAGGCTCCAACTCTGCCTCCCAAACAGTGCCTTGGACCCTTCTGTAGGATGACAGGGAGCTTGACAGGGAAGGGAGACTGGCAGGCTGAGGAGATGGGTGTACATGGACACCAGAGCAGGTGCACGACCATCCAGAGCATCACAGCTGCCTCTGATCAGCAACTCAAGTTCTAGAGGCCAATGTCAGAAATTCTCCCTGGGGGTAGAATGGGGAGTCTGATTTCTGGAGATCCTGAGTACCCTTTCTTCTCATCCCACAGTCCAGCCTATGACCAGTTCTGCCGAGATCACTTCCACAATGGGCACTGCGAGAGAGGTTGCAACACGGCAGAGTGTGGCTGGGATGGGGGGGACTGCAGGCCTGAGAGTGGGGATGCCAAGAGGGGGCCCTCCCTGGCCCTGCTGGTGGTGCTGAGCCCCCCAACCCTGGATCAGCAGCTGCTTGCCCTGGCCCGGGCGCTGTCCCTGATTCTGAGGGTGGGACTCTGGGTAAGGAAGGATGGTGATGGCAAGGACATGGTGTTCCCCTATCCTGGGGCCCGGGCCGAAGAGGAGCTAGGAAGACCGCAGGACCCCTCTCATCAGGAGAGGGCAGCCCCTCACACACAGCCCCTGGGCAAGGAGACAGACTCCCTCAGTGCTGGGTAAGATGCTGAGCAGAGGGTGGGGATTGAATGCTAGTTTGTTTTTCTTAATGGGGGCAATGGGCAGGAAGGGTGTTAGAGACTGACACTGGTTCCTCTCTGCAGGTTTGTGGTGGTAATGGGTGCAGATTTGTCCCACTGCGGCCCTGAGCACCCTGCATCCCGCTGTCCCTGGGACTCTGGACTCCTGCTCCGCCTGCTGGCTGCCATGGTGGCGGTAGGGGCCCTGGATCCTCTGCTGCCTGGGCCTCTCCTGGCTGCTCACCCTCATGCAGGCACCGGTAGGTGATCCCTCCACCTGCCCTCACCTGTGCGCCCAGGCCAGCTCTCATGTGACAGGCAACATAGAGCCAATGGAACAGGGCAACCAGAGCCCGAAGTGTGCTTTGTGAGGACTTCACCTCCTTCCCCCTCCTTCCTTCCAACCCCAGCTCCTCCCACCACTTGGTTCTGCAGTCTCATCCTTAGACCCCTAACCTCTTCAGCAAGCCTGGCCTTTGGCTTCATCTTTTTTGTTTGCTTCATGATTTATTTTTATTGGAAAGGGAAATTTTTACACAGAAAAGGAGAGAAAGTTCTGTCTGCTGGTTCATTCCCCAAGTGGCTGCAACAGCCAGAGCTGAACCAACCCAAAGCCAGGAGCTTTTTGGGAGTCTCCCATATGGGCACAGGGTCCCAAGGCTTTGAGCCATCCTCTACTGCTTTGCCAGAATACAAACAGGAAGTTGGATGGGAAGTGGAGTATAGCTGGGACACAAACCGGTGCCCATACAGAATGCCAGTGCTTGCAGGTGGAGGACTAATCTGTTAAGTCATCAGCCCAGCCCCTCCTGCTTATCTTTACTGAGAGAGAGTACCCAGAGTCTATCAGATGATTCAGGGCACATGAACGAATACTGTCTCAGGGGGATGCTTACATGTGCGTACACCTATGCACTGTGATGCTGGTAACTCACTAATCCTCCCTGTACCCCCTGAAGCAGGCACTTTATCTCCTTGTACAGAAGAAGAAACAGCCAAAGAAGGGCTCCTGCATCTGCCCAGAGGTCTCACAGGCATGGCCAGGAATGACCTCTTTCACTCTTGCTTCCACCAGCGCCCCCCACCACCCAGCTCCCCTGGCCTGTACTGTGTGCACCCGTGGCTGGCGTGCTCCTCCTGGTCCTTGGGGCTCTTCTGGTCCTCCAGCTTGTGCGGCGCCGACGCCGGGAGCACGGGGCCCTCTGGCTGCCACCTGGCTTTACTCGCCGGCCTCGGACCCAGGCAGCTCCCCGCCGCCGCAGGCCCCCGCTGGGCGAGGACAGCATCCGCCTCAAGTGAGAGTGAGGAGGAGCCCAGGCTCTGGGGGATGAGGAGTTTGAGTTCTCTCTGGTCTCTAAGGATCAGAAGTGATAAGAAATAGCATTGCAGATATTGATGAGGGGAGGGAGAGAGGGGCAGGAAGGCTGCTGGCTAGCACAAAAACCCTGATGGTCTTAACTCCAAGGATCCTTTACCAACCCCCTTCCAGGACACTGAAGTCAGAGGCAGAAGCCGATGAGGATGGAGTGGTGATGTGCTCAGGCCCGGAGGAAGAGGAGGAGGTAGGCTGGGCAGAATGGTCCAGAGCAGGTGGAATGGGGGAAGCTAGAAGCGTATGAACAGCCTTTACAAACCCTCACATGCATTCCCAGGCTGAAACAGCAGCATCTCCCTCCACGTGTCAGCTGTGGCACCTGTCCGGTGGCTGTGGAGGGCTCCCTCAGGCAGCCATGCTAACCCCTCCCCAAGAGTCTGAGACGGAGGCCCCCGACGTGAACACCTGTGGCCCTGGTAAGTGAACCAATCTAGACAAGAAAAATGGAAAATAAGTTATCAGAGCTACAGAAATCAGACAATAAAGAGGCTCATATCAGGGGCTGTCCTAGCGGAGTCTTAGAACTGCATCACCGGGGGACTGGTCAGGAACACAGCTGGCTCAGAAATGAGAACAACTGTGGGCCCACCAAGTGAGCGTGACCCAGACTCCAGTTGCCCTAGAACCTTAGGGAGTGTGGGCTGCTCAGCTCCTTTCACAGACCAGGAACCTGAGATAAGTTAGCGAAAACCACACAAAAATTCACCACCAGTATTTAGCTTCCCAACACTCCAGCCGTGCCTGTCTGAGCCTTGTGTTCATACCTCCCCGTCAGTGTGTCCTCTGGTCTGACCCATTGCTCATGTGTTACCCACACACAGATGGAGTGACCCCCATGATGTCAGCAGTCAGCTGTGGAGGAGTAGAGTCCAGGACCTTCCAGGGGGAATGGCTGGGGGGTCCTGAGCCCTGGGAGCCTCTGCTGGACAGGGGGGCTTGTCCCCAGGCTCACACCGTGGGCACTGGGGAGACACCCTTGCATCTGGCTGCCCGATTTTCCCGTCCAACTGCTGCACGCCGCCTGCTTGAGGCTGGAGCCAACCCTAACCAGCCAGACCGGGCAGGGCGCACCCCGCTGCACACTGCTGTGGCCGCAGATGCCCGGGAAGTCTGCCAGGTCAGCACACACGGGGTCTACGAAGGGAAGGGGGGCAAAACTGAAGCATAAACCTGGGCTGAAACATCCTCCAGAAGGAGAATGGATGTCAAATAAGCACAGGGAGCTAGATATGGTTTGAGGAGGTGAAAGTGTGCAAGACCTGAACGAGCAGCTCAGGGTACCCCCCGATGTCACGGGCCTTCTCTGTCCCCACAGCTCCTGCTCCGCAACAGACAGACCGCAGTGGATGCACGCACAGAAGACGGTACCACGCCACTGATGCTGGCTGCTCGACTGGCAGTGGAGGACCTAGTGGAAGAACTGATCGCAGCCCGGGCAGACGTAGGGGCCAGAGATAAATGGGGTATGGAAGGGTGCTAAAGAAGGTGAGCAGATGGGGACAGATGCGGGATGGCAGGGAGCCCAGCTGGAGGCTGGACACTCCCTTGGAACCCTGCTGTCACGGTGGTGAGCCTGCTGTGCAGTGGCAGTAAGGAGCCATCCTCAGCCATCCACACTGCTCTGGGACAGAAAAAGCTGATGGAGGACAGTGCCTGTAGGAAAAGAAAGGGGCCTCGTGGGAGGTGGTCTCCCGGCTCCAGCGACCCCAAAACAATGCCCCATTGTCCCTCCCGCGCGCCAGTGACGTCATCGGGCCAACGCTTCCGGCCTACCAACGGCGGTCGCCGGGGCAACCCTTTCCGCCTTCCACAGATCCCAGTAGCCCTCCCTCCAAGGCCAGAACCCGTGAGAAACCGGAACCCTGGCGTCTCCCCCATCCACGGCCTGACAACCTTCTGCATTGTCCCCTAGGAAAAACCGCGCTGCACTGGGCTGCCGCTGTGAACAATGCCCGCGCCGCCCGCTGCCTTCTCCAGACCGGAGCCGATAAAGACGCCCAGGACAACAGGGTCAGGCCGGACAGGGCCCCTCACACACACACAAAGCGGGGTGCTGGAGAGATGAAAGCGCGCGGGGAGAATGCGAAAAGTGAAGGGGGTGGGACCAGCGGCCCAGCAGGAGGGGTCGGGAAGGAGCTAGTGCTGTGGGCTGGGCCTTCCCTGACTAGGCCCCTGACGTTTTCTCCTTGACAGGAGCAAACACCGTTGTTCCTGGCGGCCCGGGAAGGAGCCGTGGAGGTGGCCCAGCTGCTGCTGGTGCTGGGGGCGTCCCGAGGGCTGAGGGACCACGCCGGAATGGCACCCGCCGACATCGCCCGGCAGCGGAACCACTGGGACCTGCTGACGCTGCTAGAGGGGGCGGGGCCGCTGGACGCGCGTCACAAAGCCACGCCGGGCCGCGAAGCCGGCGCTCTCCCGCGCGTGCGCACTGCGTCGGGAAGCTTGCCCCCGCGCGGGGGCGGGGCTGCGCCGCGCAGCCGGACGCTGTCCGCCGGAGCAGGCCCGCGAGGGGGCGGAGCCTGCCCGCCCCCGCGTCGTGCGTCCGTGGACTGGGCAGTGCGCAGGGGCGGGGCCCACGCGAGGGGCCGCAGCCAATCCGGAGGCGCTGCGGGCGGCCCGCCCCCGCGCGGCCGCGGGCTCTCAGCAGGCATGCGCGGACCCCGGCCCGCCCCTGAGGCGGTGAGAGGAAGATGCGGGGTCGCGGCGGGGTGCAGAGCCACGGCTTCCCCGCAGGACTGGCCGTGTGACTGGGTGGCCCTGGGAGCCGGCGGGCCCGCCTCCTGCACGCCGACTCCGCCTCTCTGCCTGACTCCGTCGCCGGAGCAGGGATCCCCTCAAGTGGTCTGCTCCGTGCCCCTGGACGCGGGAGGAGAGAATCCGAAATAGAAGGCTGGGCGGGGAGCAGGGACTCAAAAGATGACTACCCATTACATGTCAGGCAGCCTGACTCTAAAATCGAGCCCCCAAAGCCTCCACTGCCCTCAAATGGAGGATAGGTATTTATTATTGAGCACCTGCCATGTGCCAGGTGCTGTGTAGAGGCTGTCCCTTGGCCAGGGGCCACTCCAGCTGGTAACTCCTTGTATTCTCCAACAAAGAAACTATTGCAGAGATGAAATCACTCTTCCAGCCAAAGCTATTTAAGAACCCCAATTTGTCCGCAAAAATAAATAAAGGCTCATTTACAGTGTTATTTTTTTCTGAAGGGGTGGAAAATGGAAGGGCAAAATAAAAGTGCCCACAGTGTCTTCTGAATTGAGGTACAGGATTTCGATGGGGTCGTGAGGAAAAATAAGTTTGCAGATTTAGGGCCTCATCTGGAAAAATTCTGCTAGTTCAGGGAGACCCCATTCAAACCTTTTCCCTCATCCAAAGGCTTGTAGGATGGCGAGAGCCGTCTTAAAGTTTATCACCCTTTGACCCACCTTTAATGTTAACAGGCCTAAGACAGAGGCACAAGGCATCTTGAAAGCCAAAAATAACCAGACTCTTTGCCAGCTGCTTTATTACAATTAGCCCTCACAACTCAATGAGGTAGGTGTGACTAAAACCCCAATTTAACCTTTCAGAAACGGACACCGAGATTTTACTTGCCCAAAATTGCAGGCATGGAGTGATAGTGCCAGCTCTCATCACATTCCATGTTCTAGGTCATTCAGCTCTGAAACCCCAAACACAGCAGGTTGCCCTTCAGTGGTCCCAAGGGCCCGTTTCATGCCCTCTTTGGTGCCAATTAGCCAAAGATGGAGCAGGGGAGCTGGTCCCCTCCCTTTTCCATCTTTGCACCCCTCATTCCTGCCCAGAGAACCTCTCCCCACTGCACTGCAAGTGGTTCCAATGCACTGTGTCCCTGAACTTGACTGTGAACACCTGGAGGGCAGGGACTGTCCCTCCACGAGTTGCTGAAGGCTCATTGTGTGTCGAAACCATGATCAGGGGTATGTGCATTTGTTTGAAAGCCTGGGTCTGGACCCTCTGCTTCCCATGGAATCAGGTTCCTCCCTGTCCCAAAAGGCCTGTCAGGGAAGTTAGAGCAAGTCAGTTCCTGCATCAGGGTCCCTCTCAAGGAGTGAAGGGAACAGGCTTGGGGGGGGGGGTAGATTCTGGGGAGTGAAACCACTTCCTGTGTAACTAGTTCCTGTGTTGACAGAAAAAAAATGAAAGGGGGGGTGGAGGAGGAGAGCCAGAGTTTGGAGTGCTACTGAGGCTCTGGAGAAGGGAGGTCCAGGAGTCCTCCTCCACCAAGAGCTCCAGGACAAGCCCTGTGGCTGGAGAAGTTTCTCCCCGCCTCTGTGCTCCCCTGGGGAGAGGTCAAAAGAGCTGTTTGGGTGGGAAGAGAATGGAGGAAGTTGACAGGGATGGGCGGAGCCCGTTGGGGGGGCTGACCAGGAACCCAGCTTCCTGCTCAATACCCAGACATCCAGCCCCCAGTTCACCCCCACCCCTTCCAGCCCCCACTCCTTTCAGGCACCCTAAGTTCCTACCCTTTTCCCAAATACCAGCCACCCCTCCCCCATCTGTCTCTCCCCTCCAGGGGATGGAGGCTGAGAGACCCCAGGAGGAACCGGATGGTGAGCAGGTGAGCTGGGCACCGGGCTGGGGAGGCAGACCCCAAGAGCGGAGGGAAGACCCACGGCTGAGCCCCAGTGTCCGCTGGCCGACAAGGGCCTAGGCAAAGGGGCAAGAACAGAGGTACAGAGAGACTGGCCCCATCTGAAGCTTATCCCACTCCCTCCCTGCTTCCGGACATCTCTTGGCATCAGGACTCCCCCCAGGATGAACAGGGCTGGCCCCCTCTGAACTCCACCCCTCGGCCTTGGCGGTCTGCTCCTCCGTCTCCCCCTCCTCCAGGGACCCGCCTCACAGGTACCCCTGGACCCTGCTGCCCTCCAACACCTTGACTACATTCCCAAAGCCCACTCCATGCTGGGACCTCTCCCACTTTCCTCTGCTCTAACCCCAAGTCTCTAACCCCTTACCCTGTCCTCACCTGCACCCTGTCCTCTCTCTCCTGGCTTCTCTGGGTCTCTGAGCCATTCCACTCCTTTCCCCAGCCCTGGGGCCCCGCTCGGCCTCCCTGCTCTCCCTGCAGACCGAGCTCCTTCTGGACCTGGTGGCTGAGGCCCAGTCCCGCCGCCTGGAGGAGCAGAGGGCAACCTTCCAGGCCCGCCAGAAGCCCCCAAGTGCGGCTCTCAGCCCAGCAGCCCGGCCTCTGGAGGACCGGGAGCAGCTCTACAGCACCATCCTCAGTCACCAGGTGAGGACCCCTCCACACCCGGGGTGATGAGGGGCAAGAGTCAAGCCTGTTAGTCCCTCCATTTTCTTTTGGGCATTACTCCTTCTGTCCCTTGCTCTCTGCCCCACTCCACTGTCAGACACCAGTTCCTCCACTCCAACCATATTTTCTCCACCACCCACCCCCATACCAACCTGCACTGCCATCAAGGAACACCTCATCTTCACACCTCCCCAATGCACCCTCTTTCCCACTCCTCCAGTGCCAGCGAATGGAAACCCAGCGGTCAGAGCCTCCCCTCCCTCCAGGGGGACATGAGCTGCTGGAGTTGCTGCTCAGAGTTCAAGGTGGTGGTCGGATGGAGGAGCAAAGGTCCCGGCCACCCACACACACCTGCTGAGGCTCAAGCGCCTCATGAGCCTGTGCTCCGTCTTGGGGCACACAGCTGGACACCCTGCTTGGTGGAGGTTACCAGAGACTGGAAGACCCCGCAGCAAAAACCTCTCTGTTGGTTGTGCTCATCACCATCCCTGAGGACCAGAGGGGATTAAAGTCCTCAGACCCTGGGACTAGGAAAGGCAGATGGGCCTCCAGCTCCCTCCCCAAGTGCAAGAAGTAAGGCAGGAAGTAAGCCAGAGGAGGCCAGTGGCTAGGAGCAGGTGTCCAACCACCAACCGCAGTTAAGCTACCAGGTATGGCTGTGGGCTCAGACCACCTCCCACAGAAAGGCGCGTCTCCGGAGTTGTGCCCTGAGCTGGCTCAGCCCTCTATCCAGGCAAGGAGAAAGGGAGCAGGGTGGATGTGCTGAACAGAGACCCCGTCCACCACCCTCCTCCCCAGGCCTGGGTGAACCCTCAGTCCTGCACACGCTTCCCTACCGCGGTTGTGGGTCTGTCTGATGTCGGTTGTACGAATAAATGTGATTCCTCCTCTGGACTCCAATGTGATGTGTACGGGGGTGGGCGGGGGTAGAGGGTGGCAAGGTGAGGCCAGAGGCCGCCTCACTCTCCTGTCTGGCCAGAGGCCAGCTCCCCTCCCTGGCTGCTTAATTACTGGCTCATTAAGCAGCGGCTGGAGACCTTCCTAATTATCTCCCCTAGCCCCCTCCCATGCTTTTAATTAAGTAGAACAGGGAGGGGAGTCATTAGAACAAGAAATATGAACTGAGCGGGCTGTGAACCCAAGCTTTGCGCGGCCCGAGCTCTCATCTCGCAGACCCAGGCCTCGGAACCCAGCAGCGAGCCCCCCATCCCGCGCACGCCCCTAGGGGGCCTGGTCGCAAGGCGGTGCTCCCGGTGGCCCAGCCGCCTCCCCTCCTCCACTCGGTCTCAGTTCCTCCGTTTCTGTGCGTCTCTCTCCGCCCCCTGCTCCTCCCCGTTCCTCCTCTCTTCTCCCCTCCTCTTCCTCCCTAGTTCCCCTCCCCCAGCCTCCCTCCCTCGCTCCCCCCCTTCTCCCTCCTCCCTCCTCCCTCTCTCGCACACACACCCCCGCTTGGGCCTCCTCTCTCTCTCTCCGGCTCCATTTTCTCCGCCGCCGGGGGCCGGGGTCTCCTGTGGGGGGCCCGGCCGGTACCCCAGGTCTCCCTTTAGTGCCGGGGTGAACCCCGGGGGAGCTGGGAGCGGGGGAGACGGGAGGGGGTAGGGGCGGAGGGAGCAGCGGCCCCAGCGAGTTTGGGGGGGGAAGTAGCCAGGCGGGGGGAGGGGCGGAGCAGGGAGGGGGCCTCAGGGCCCCCCCCCCAGCTATGGACGAGCGGCTGCTGGGGCCGCCCCCTCCGGGCGGGGGCCGCGGGGGCCTGGGATTGGTGGGTGGGGAGCCTGGGGGCCCAGGCGAGCCTCCCGGCGGCGGAGACCCCGGTGGGGGCAGCGGGGGGGTCCCGGGAGGCCGAGGGAAGCAAGACATCGGGGACATTCTGCAGCAGATAATGACCATCACCGACCAGAGCCTGGACGAGGCCCAGGCCAAGTGAGTGCCCCCACCCCGGGACCCCACACAGACCCGGCAAGACCCCGTTCACACGTTCTGAGTCTTGGGGAGCCCCCGCCCACCCCAGTCTAGGGTCTTCTCCAGGAACCTCCAGCCCTCTTCTCCCCTTGTGCTTGGAAGCCCCAGAAAAGTGATCCTGCTCAGATCCTGCTCCTCTTAGCCCCAGAGACCTCCACAGAGGGAACCCCCAAGTTCCCTCCTAACCTTTTGGTGACCCCTACCCACCCCTGGAATGGTCCCCTGTCCAGTGCCCCCTTCTGGTTCGCTGACTTAGGAAACTGTCCTTAGGCTGTGCTGCCTTCTGTCCTAACTCTCCACCCAGCCCACCCCCATTCCCTCCAGACCCGGGGCCTTCCACATCCCTCCCAGGAGCTACCCGCCCCATGCTGCCAAAGTCCTCACTCCCCCTAACCCTGCTCAGACACTGGGTGCCCAGCTCCCACCTGCCCAACCCCTAGGAGCACTCCTCTCTTAGCTCCACACCCCCAGCCCCTCTCAGCCACTGCAAACTTTGGCTTTTCTCCATCCACCCCAGCCTGCCTCTCATCTGAAATCTGCAGTCACCCTGTTCCTCCAGGCACCCCATTTCTTTCCTAGATCACCTCCCATTGCCCTCAGCCCACCCTTGCACCTCCTGCCGGCCGCCTGCATCTTCCTGAGCAGAGTAGCTTCCTTCCTGGGGGGAGTTCATCTTTCCCCAGAGCCGCCCCTACTCCATTCCAGCCCCAATCTTGCTTCCTCCCAGCCTGCAGTAGCCCCTGACTCCTCATCCCCAGGCTCGCCCCTTGGCCTTCCTAGTAAGACACTCCAGCTTTGTTTCTCTAGCTCCTCACCTCTCTCTCCCCTGCTCCTACCAAGGAAACACGCCCTAAACTGCCACCGAATGAAACCTGCTCTCTTTAGCGTCCTGTGTGAAATCAAGGAGAAAACCGGTATGTGAGTCCCCCTCTGATGGTGCACCTCTGGAGGCAAGACCCTGTTCAGTGCAGAATAGAGTCTGACAATGTGGGGTCCTGAGCCAAGTGGGGAGTTGGGAGGTTGCCAAGAGACCCTAGGGAGGCACCGAAGTCTCCAGGAGGACTGAGTGTTGGGCATGAGGTCCCCAGGTCGTTAAGCCCACTCACCTGCATGCTAGGCCTCAGCATCCGAAGCTCCCAAGAGGAGGAGCCGGTGGATCCACAGCTGATGCGCTTGGACAACATGCTTCTGGCAGAGGGTGTGGCTGGGCCCGAGAAAGGGGGGGGCTCAGCAGCAGCCGCTGCAGCCGCTGCAGCCTCTGGGGGCGGCGTGTCACCTGACAACTCCATCGAACACTCGGACTATCGCAGCAAACTAGCCCAGATCCGCCACATCTACCACTCAGAGCTGGAGAAGTATGAGCAGGTGAGCCAAGAGGGCTGGGGTAGTGGGCAGAAGTGGTCCTGGAAGCTGGGATTGCAGGGGGTAGGGAGGACCCCAAGGCCAGAAGACTCCCCCTCACCTGCCAGACACCTTCCGACAGGCATGCAATGAGTTCACGACCCATGTCATGAACCTGCTGAGGGAGCAGAGCCGCACACGGCCCGTGGCGCCCAAGGAGATGGAGCGCATGGTGAGCATCATCCACCGCAAGTTCAGTGCCATCCAGATGCAGCTGAAGCAGAGCACCTGTGAGGCCGTCATGATCCTGCGTTCCCGCTTCCTGGATGCCAGGTGGGCCCTGCCCCGAGCTGCGTGGAACCGAGTGCTGCGTGGACGCCCATGCCGGCACACTGAGGTCCTCACCATTCTTCTCGTGCAGACGGAAACGCCGTAACTTCAGCAAACAGGCCACGGAGGTCCTCAATGAGTATTTCTACTCACACCTGAGTAACCCGTATCCCAGCGAAGAGGCCAAGGAGGAGCTCGCGAAGAAGTGTGGCATCACTGTCTCTCAGGTCTTGCAGGGTGTGGAGGCAGGAGTTCTGAAGCAAAAACCTCTCTTGTCCTCCTTGTGGGGAACCTCATGGAAACAGGTTTCCACTTTATCTCCCCCATTCCTTTCTGTCCAACACCACACAGGTCTCCAACTGGTTTGGCAACAAGCGGATTCGTTATAAGAAAAATATTGGAAAGTTCCAAGAGGAAGCGAACATCTATGCAGTCAAGACTGCTGTGTCTGTCACCCAGGGAGGCCACAGCCGCACCAGCTCCCCAACACCCCCTTCTTCTGCAGGTAGGAGCTGGCTGTCACCCTGGCTGGGGTGCACGCTTCCTGCTTTTGTTCCCACTTTTATCTGGGCAGGATTATAACAGAGATCTTTGTGCTTGAGTGGGAGCAAGCTGAGAAGAAGCGGAGATGTCTGGGGACAGAGGTCAAGCCATGTCCTAGCAGAGGCTCAGAACTAGCCTGTTCTTTGGGAGTGTTGACATGTTGCTTTGTGGATAATTTGTGTCCAGTGGTGCGTTCCCACAGAGAGCTTTTTGGAAACAAAGTTGTGATTCATCTGTTTTCTTCCCTGATTTCCCCTCTGCTACCCCAAGGCTCTGGCGGCTCCTTCAATCTCTCAGGATCTGGAGACATGTTTCTGGGGATGCCCGGGCTCAATGGAGATTCCTACACTGCTTCCCAGGTCAGCTGGCCAGTCTTCTCTGGAGCATGACTTTCCCAGGATCCACTTTGACTGCAGCTTCTCTTCACTGTCCTGCCTTCCTCTACTTCCGGCAGGTGGAATCACTCCGACACTCTATGGGGCCTGGGGGCTACGGGGACAACCTCGGGGGAGGCCAGATGTATAGTCCTCGGGAGATGAGGGTGAGTGGGTCCTGGAGCACCCCCGCCCCCCACAAACAACCCTCACCAGGGGGTGGGGTGGGAGAGCCTTCTGCCTAGAAGTGTGGTCCTCACATGGGGCATCCCATGACCCTGTTCCAACTGTCTTTCCAGGCCAATGGCGGCTGGCAGGAGGCTGTGACCCCATCCTCAGTGACGTCCCCAACAGAGGGACCAGGGAGTGTCCACTCTGACACCTCCAACTGATCTCGCCCCTCAGGGTCACGGGGGTAGGGGCTGTCACAAGGCAACTCTTGAAGACGACTTGGGCATCCAGAGGACGAACCCCAAACACAGGAGAAGCACAAGACGGAGAAGGGCAGACGGGCTCGGGCCCTCCCATCTAGACGCTCCGTGCTGGGGCTGCTGACTACGTGGCAGGGAGAATGGGGCCCTGAGGGGAAAGTGGGGTCTGTCTCCCCATTTTTCCTTTTTCTCTCCCCCTCTCCTACACAGAAACCTATTCTTCAGACTTCTTGGCTCCTCCCTCCTCTCCTCTCATATACCCACATTGAACTATTCTGTTTTCTCTGGACACCCCCACCCCTCCCACACACACACATACACACTTTCCCTTCCCCACCCTACTTATATGCTCTGGAATCTGTGGAGACGCCAGCCCTGCCCAACCAGAGATGCCAAAAATGGGGACACGCCTGGACAGAGGACATGGGCCACGCCCCCCGTGCATCCCCGCCCCTCCAGACGGCTTTATTACCTCATACGCAGCTCATCTTAAACCAATAGAATCGCTCGGTGGACGAGAGTGTCTGACTCAGATATCTACCTCGGAGGGAGTTTCTGCTACTTTAGGAAATTGTTGACTGGGCTTTGGGGTTGAACATTTTTTTTCTTCACAGAAAGTAAAAGAAGCCCTGGGATCCATTTGTAATTTTGGGGGGTTTGATTTTTTTTTGGCTTGTTGGTGTTGTTGGTTCTTAATTTTTAACTTAGTTTGAGGGAATTAGTTTTTTATATATAAATATATATAAAATATATATTTCTTTTTTTTTAATGTCTTGCTTCCTCCCATGTTAGGGAAGTCCAAGGGGTCTTGGCAAGAGAAAGGGGAACAGGTGGAACTGGTGAAGGTGCCTCCAGGCCTGTTCATCAGGAAGGCGTTTGCTGGGTACCAAGCCGTTCCCCAGGTCACCATGGTGCTGGCCCTGCCGGCTGCCATAGAGCCTCTTCCCATCACCCCTGGGGGAGGTCTGGATTTCAAGACATTTGAAAATGCCACCTTCCCCTCAGACACGGCTTTGGAATTTTTTTTTAACTGTTTGCAAACTGGAGGGGAACAAATGGGGAAGGGGCTATTGCCAAATATGCTAAGTATGGGTTGGGGTGCTTACATGTATCTCCCTCAGTTTCCCCCAGAAATGTATCCTTTTTTCTCACACCAAAACCCAGGGGGTGGGGAGAGGAGAGAGGTTGCAAAAAGCCAGGTATGGGGGAAGTGGAGTCTACACTATCCCGTCCTTGCCCTGGACCCTACCACGTGATCCCCTCAAGCATCCTCAGGATTTTACAGAACTGACAGTGGGGAACCTTCCCGGCAAAGAACCGGGCAGGACTGTGGGACAGGCTGAGGGTGTGATGGGTTGGGGGGGGCGGGAAGCACGGGCTGGGGCAGTTCTCTCCTCACTTGTAAACTTGTAGTTTCACAGAAAAAAACACGCAGTTTTAAATAAAGAAATTTCTTTTTTCCCTGGGTTTAGTTGAGAATTTTCTTTTACAAAAGCATGAAAAACCCCAGAAAAAGAAAAAAAAATTTCTCTCACCCAAATAACTTTGTTCCTAATCCCCTAATCTTGCCCTCGTTAACAGAACCCCAAGTCCATCCTGGGAACAACAACCAGCCTGCCCCCTGGTGGGGCTCTAGTTGGCCACAAGGCAGATTGATGCAATATGGTGGTGGGGGTTTCTAAGAGGAGACCCTGGTAGGTGCCTGCCCTACCCCCCAGGGAAGTGCCTGTGCCCAGAGGCTGGCAGTGCCTGGGGGTGGGGTGACCATTCTTTCTCTTGGTACCTGAAGGACTCTTGTCTAAGAGGCATGAATTCCTAGCATTCCCTGTGACAGCACTACATGGGGAAATGGGGGCAGGGGAGAAGGAGCAAGCCCCACCTAGGGGGGTGGCCTTGACAGTGAAAGCCACAGTCACAGTCTGGAGCCTGGGGAGGCAGCAGGATGGCAGCAGGGGCAGCAGCTGGAGCCTGGGTGCTGGTGCTGAGTCTATGGGGTGAGCCCCTCTCCCTGTCCCACCAACCCTCTCCCTGCCTCCCCACAATCTTCCCAGTACTTGCCTGGTGCCTGGGCATTGCCCAAGCTGCCATGTTCTAATTGCATTAGTCCCCCACAGTTTCCTATGGTGTTGTCTCCCAGGGGTGGTGGTAGGTGGTCAGAACATCACAGCCCGCATTGGGGAGCCGCTGGTGCTGAAATGTAAGGGGGCCCTTAAGAAGCCGCCCCAGCAGCTGGAATGGAAACTGGTAAGTAGGGCTTGGCTTGGCAGAGGGCAGTGGTGGCTTACCTGCCTTGCCAGGCCTTTCCCAGAGAACCTGGCCCTCCTTACACCCGTCTTCTGCTCTCTACCTCCAGAACACAGGCCGGACGGAAGCCTGGAAAGTCCTGTCTCCCCAGGGAGGCTCATGGGACAGCGTGGCTCGCATCCTCCCGAACGGCTCCCTCCTCCTGCCGTCTGTGGGGATCCAGGATGAGGGCACTTTCCGGTGCCGGACAACCAACAGGAACGGAAAGGAGACCAAGTCCAACTACCGAGTCCGCGTCTACCGTAAGGGTCCCAGAGCCTTGGTTCTTCAGCCTCAGCTCTTGGCCCTGTGGTTTGTGAGGAGCTCCGACTTGGCACTGCCCCATTCTCACCCGCCGGCAGGGCACATGAGAACCCTCAAAGCTACAGCCTCTGAGGGGACTTTTCCTTCCCGCAGAGATTCCTGGGAAGCCAGAAATCATGGATCCTGCCTCTGAACTCAGAGCCGGCATCCCCAGTAAGGTACAAGAAGGGCACAGAGTGTCCCGTGAGGGAGAGGGGAACTTAGCTAGCGCAGGAGTGGCCGTACATGTCTCTTTCAGAGAATGACATGGACATTACCTCCCCAGGTAGGGACATGTGTGTCCGAGGGGGGCTATCCTGCAGGGACTCTCAGCTGGCACATGGATGGGAAACCCCTGATACCTGACGGGAAAGGTGAGTCCTGTGGTGCTGGCCTCCCACCTGCCTCTTCCTCTCCCTCCCTCTTTCTCAATGCTGCCCCAGGGATATCTTTCTGGTCTTCCCCCTTCCACAGAAGTATCTGTGAAGGAGGAAACCAGGAGGCACCCGGACACAGGGCTCTTCACACTGCAGTCAGAATTGCTGGTGACTCCAGCCGGGGGGCCAGGGCCGCACCCCACCTTCTCCTGTAGCTTCAGCCCTAGTTTGCCCCGCCGCCGGGCCATGCACACAGCTCCCATCCAGCCCAGTGTCTTGGGTGAGCCAGTCTGAAGTATGGTGTTCTGGGGGGTGGGGTGGGAGACGACAAGCCCACAGCCACTGGAGCACTTGTACTTCGTGCCCCTACCCATCCCAGAGCCTGGGCCCCTGGAGGTCCACTTGCTGGTGGAGCCAGAAGGTGGGACAGTAACTCCTGGGGGGACTGTGACGCTGACCTGCAAAGCCCCTGCCCACTCCCCTCCTCAGATCCACTGGATGAAGGATGTGAGTGATCTGCCGAGGCTGGGTGGCAGAGAACCGGGAAGTGGGTGCTGGGCTCCTGGAGGGCAGGGCAGGCAAGGAGTCCATGAGGGAAGACGGGGCATTTGGTGAGTGTGAGCCACAGCTTAGTGACAAGTCTCTTACCACCCCTGCTCTGCTAGGGCATGCGCCTGGCCCTGCCGCCCAGCCCTGTGCTGCTGCTCCCTGAGGTGGGGCCTCAGGATGAGGGCATCTACAGCTGCGTGGTCACCCAGCCTAACCACGGGCCCAGGGAAAGCCCCCCAGTCAGCATCAGCCTCGGTGAGACCCAGCCCCTCCTTCAGCCGTGTCCCAGGGAGCCTGTGGCTGGGAAGGACAGCACAGAGTGCAGCTCCCTGCCCCATTCTAACATGATCCCCTGGGGCCACCCCAGCCCTCCCACACCCAGACCGCCTATGCCCCACCCAGATAGCACTGAGAGCAGCCCAGCCTCTCCCTTTGGAATGAAAGACTCCACTGGGACTCCCACCCAACACAAGTCTTCCATTCTCACTCATTCCAACTTTGTTTTCCAGAAACAGGAGAGGAAGAGCTGACCCCAGGTGAGGCGCTGGAGAATCAGCAAGAAGCAGGTGGCCTCCACCAGTGGGACTGGAGCATGGCTCACAGGCAGGGAGTCGTGAGCAGTGAAGACTCTGCCCTGATTGTCCCCATCTCCCTACAGGCCCTGTGGGAGGGTCAGGGCTGGGAACGCTGGCTCTGGCCCTGGGCATCCTGGGAGGCCTGAGCGTAGCCGCCCTGCTGGTTGGCATCATCCTGTGGCGAAGGCGCCAACGCCAAGGAGAGGAGAGGTTAGTGGGGGAAGGCAGACCCCTGGGACCTGGGCCTTCCACGCAGCAAGTGAGGCAGGTGAAGTGGCCAGGTGGAGTGTTGGGAAGCAAGTGCAGAATTCTTCCCTCTCCTCTTCCTCAGGAAAGTCCCAGAAAACCAGGAGGACGAGGAGGAGCGCACGGAGCTGAACCAGTCGGAGGAACCTGAGGCAACCGAAGGCGGTGTGGGAGGGTCCTGAGGGACAGGGCCGGCCCCCCAGTTCCTCAGCCCCCTGCCCTATGCCCTGCACCGGTGCTGACATTAGACCAGTTCTTCCCAGTACAATTCCCTCCCACTTCCTCACCACAGCCTCCTTTCCCGCGTAAACAGTGACTAGTAAAGAAACAAACACACATTGGCCCATATGTGTTTGTGTTTGTGTGAGATGTCACCCCTAACACCCTCAGGGAGAGGGTGACACTCCTCCACACCAAACATCTACTCCAGTGGGGTGAAAGAGGGGGAAGAAAAAAAAGGACAGAATCGGGCAGAGTTCCCGTTGATCCACTTCACTTTTTTATTGAATGTGTATTAAAGGAGGTAGTGAGGGGGGAGGAAGCATGTGGAGTCAGAACTCATATTAGACATTGGAGGGAGAATTAAATTAAACCCACAGGAGCAGGGGATTGCCCAAGGGAGCCTTGTCCACCTTCAACATCAAATCAAGAAATCTGGGCGGGGGGAGAGATCAAAGGACTAAGAGGGGGAACACTCTGTAGTCTGCCTTCCTGCCCCAGGGGTCAGGCATTGATGGGCCTCCTCCAGCATGTAGCTCAGAGCAGCCCAGGTTTCCCATCCCACACCCGTGTCACCCCCGCCCCCACCAGCCAGGGCTGGCCTCAACGACAGAAATGGAGGGCTCACAGAGGGGTCCAGGAGGAAGGAAGGGTCGACAGAGACCCCCAATACTGATTCTCCTCTGGCTGGAGGTGGGCATGAAGGAGGATCCAGCTCAAATACTGAGCAACCAGAAAAAGAAAAAGATGGCGAGAAACAGGAAGAGGGAGTCCTGCCAGCTGGAGGCCGGGTGCCCCTGGCCCAAATCCACACCTGTGGGAGAAATGAACGCTGAGGGGGCTGCTCCCCACTCCCAGGGGGCTCCCTAGCAGGGGCAGAGGGAGGAAGCTTACCTGCACCCCGGCGGAAAGGGTCGTGGGTGTTGAAGACAGTGGTGAAAAAGCCAAAGGGAAAAGCACCAACACCGAATGAGAAGTGGAAGCCCCCGGTGTCCCCAAATGGCTGGAACCCCTGCAGAGCAAGAGTAAGTCAGAGGGCTAGGGGCCACATCCCAGCAAGGAGGGGCTGTGGCCACCCAGACTCACCCCTCTGCTCTCTGGGGCTGGTCGCTGGCCCTGGGGACGAGGTGGTGTTTTCAACCTGAGCAAGGTATGAGAGACAGTCAGCGGGGCATCTCTCCCTCCTCTTCCTCACCCTCCTCCCAGCCCTTCACTCTCTCACCGGGGATCCTGGGGCTTCTGGCTTCCTCGCCCATACAGTGGGACAACGGACTCTCTGCTGATCCCAGCCTTACACACCGGGCACTCTTGCCGCTCTGGCCGGGTCTCCAGCCACTGCAGTAAGAACAGGAAGCAGTTTCCAGAGCTGGAGGGTCTCCAGCTTCTCAGATGCTCCCAAGCCCCTCCCCTCTTCATCTTCTCTGAATACGCACCTGGTGAAGGCAGGGCCAGCTGGATGAAAGGAGGCGAGAACAAAGCAAACAGGGGTTAAATGGGATGTGAAAAAAGAGGGGGAGATCCTAGACCTCACAGAAGCCCACCTCGAGCCTCCTCCTGGGCCTGACTTGGTTTCCTTGGATGTTTTCTACCTCCCCAACCATGACCGTTAGCCATCCTGCCTCTTCCTTCTCCCAACACATCCTCAACATACTCACCTCTCCTCGTTTCCCAACACATACACATGCTCTCATTCCCTCCTTTCCCTGCCTTTCAGTGTAACTTCCAATCCTCTTCATCCCCTCCCACCAGCTTTCCCCTGTCAACCCTAACTCCACAGCCCCAAGCCAAACTCCACGGGCTAACACTCCCGCCCTTACTCCTTGATCTCTCACTCAGCAAAGGCCCTTTGACCTCTCAAGCCTGTTCCTCCACAGCGCCCCAGTCCCCCTCCCCCAGCTGTCACCTGAATGTGATCACATAATCCCGGGGTCTCGTCCACCGGACTGATGCGCGCCTCCCTTACCCTCCGTCCACCTGGACAGCTAGGAACCCTGGGGTAAGGCGGCTCCCAATCACCTGCAGGAACGTGCAGCGGCCCGCACTCGCCGCCCGCTCCCTCCGAACACAGTCCACTCCCCAGTTCCAAGCCACCCCCTCCCCGCCACAGACGTGATCTTCCCACCCACACCTCCCAGGAAAGACTCACAGCTCCACTTCGGGTCTCCCCACGGGGGCACGCCCTCCGGCTACCTACAGGACTGCAGGGGTCCCCGCTCCCAGCCTCCCCCTGTCCTCACCCATTCTTACCAGTACAGGTGGCCGCACACACTGACCACGGCTTCCCGAGCAGTCTCCAGACATATGTTACATTCGAAGGTCGCGCCCGCCCCGCCTCGCTCGCGATTTGGCCCTTCGGGGCCCCCGTCCTCCTCCTCGGCGGCTGCCATGGCGGGTTCTAGATTCGCCCCCCGCGTACCCCTCAGATCCCCCAAACACACATACACACGCCCCAACAAACGAGAAACCGCCTCCTCCCCAATATCGTTGGGCCGGCTTCAAGCTTTTTAAATTTCTATTGGTTGGAATGCCTGCCAATTACACGTGGCTCAAAAGAAAAGATTGGCCCAAATGGTGTGGGCGGTAAAAGATTTGCTCGGCCCTGCCCTCGCACGGTGATCATTGGCTGATATAATCACAGTCAAGGGACAGCGAAAGGGAATTGGTAAGAACTCGCCCGGCAACGGAGAATGTTATTCGCCTGAGTAGCCGCCAGTCAAAGCCAAAGCTCAGAAACAATTGGCTCAGGTCCACACAGACCCCGCCCACCACAAGCCGCTATCTTCCCTTCACTTCCTCTTTCAGAGAATGTCCGGATTCCTATTGGACTTTGGAGCGTGTGGTTCCAGAGACGGTGATTGGCTGGAATTCGACGGAAAATGGTGGCGAGGTAAAAATGCGTCTGCGCAGCACGCGCGGGCAGGTTAACCAATCCTATGAGAGTTGACTCTCTTTGGTCCCACCCCGTTACGCCCATCTTGTCGCTATGGTTACTGCTCTGCCATTGGCGGGGTTTGCAGTTCAAAGACCTCGGCGGGGCTTCATCCGGGTCCTCTGACGGTGGTCTCTCTCTCTGCTGATTGGGCGGCTTCTTTGGCCCCTGATTGGCCGAGGTCGGGAACGACAGTGGAGGGCTCGGAAAGGAGGGCAAACACCAGGGTCGCAGGGTTCAAAATGGCTCCGGCCCCCTTGGGTGACGTAGAGAGCAGAACTTGGGTTCTCCAGTCCCTTGTAGTGAAGAAAGGAGCAGGACTGGGACTAGCCCGACGTCTGGAGGGTACGAGCGTGGAGCTGCGGTGCTGGTGTTAACCCCTGTCCCTCGGCAGGCTGACTCGGCCCGCCCCTCTCTAGGTGATTTCCAGGGCAGGACTCTTTTTAAGTTAAAGGCCCAAGTCGTCTTTAATGTGACATGGAATAGCACAGAGCTGCCCGCGACTTCCTTTCAGACCTCAGGAGAGTTAAAAGGCCTGGCTCCCGGCCTCTGAGAGATGCCGAAGGGGCAAAGCCCTCCTCCTCTCAGGTGGTCCGCGGCGGCATGGGGCTAAACCCTCCCCTTCCTTCTGGTAAAGGGGTCTTCTTCCTGGGCCGGAGCCTTGCCTACAGTCGGAAATCCTTACTGTGGCCCAAGGAACGGCATTAGGTAACAGCCATCCCACGACCCGTGTTCTCGATATCCCGATCCCCAGGGTGTGGAAACTGGCCAGGCAAAGGTGTGGCCCAGGGCGGGAGGCGGCTGGCTGCACACCAACGTGTTCTGATCCTAGCCTCCACGCGCCTCGGGATGCAGGGAGATGAGGAGTTGGGAAGTGTGCACAAGAGGTGCGGTTGCAGGAGCCTGGGAGAGGCTCAGCCAAGAAGATGTTGAGAGGAAGGGGTGGCGGGATGGTCCCGATCAAGGGGTGAGCGGTGAGGGCACTGGGACAGGTACACAGCTGTACCCCAGGTTGTCAGCACCCTTCCTCCAACTTGTTTTCTAGGAAACAGTCGTCATTCTTAATTAGCATGGGAAAAGATACATCCCGATTGGGAGTAGGGGGTAGGAATTGTCCCGGTTTGGATAGGAAGGAAAGAATTGGGAAAAGAAGATGCTGAGGTAAAAGCATGGACGAGAAATGTGCCAGGAGGCCAACGAGTGTGTGGGTGGTTGGGTGGAGGAGGACTGGACTGCTGGAAGATAGTGGAGGACAAAGGGCACCGTGGCCGGACTAGAGGGCTGGAGCGCCAAGTGGGGAAGACAGGGAGCCCTAGGCAGGAGAGAAGAAGTGAACTCGGTGCTTGGCATACAGTAGGTGCTTAACTCGTGTTCGAAATTGAATGGGGGATGGGACGAGTGTGTGCGGGAAGAATTGGAGGGAAGAAGCAGTCGATGCTGGAGACGAAGGAAAAGTGGCAGTGAAAGGATGGAGAACGAGAAAGCGCATATAGAGGGGGGCATACAGCACCCAGCCCGAGCTGTGCGTGAAGAAAAAGGGGCTGGAGGGGAGAAAAAGATGCAGCCAGACCCCATCCCGGCTCAGAGGCCAGGGAGAAGCCAGCTGAGCTCTGCCGGGGCGGAGCCAGCCTGACTCCGGCCTGCGCGGGAGGAGGCACCAGGGTCTCAGCTGCAGGCCATTGGCAAAAGCAACCGCCCATCACCGCCCCCCACTTCCTGGCCAGCCCCGGAAACCAGCAAGCATTGGGGAGGGGTAGGGGGGAGGATAGCGGCGGCAGCAGCCCCAGCCCTCAGAGAGACAGCAGGAAGGGAGGGAGGGTGCTGGGGGGACAACCCCCCACCATTCCTGCCGCTATGGGTTCAGGCTCCCACGCCCACCTCCCCTCCATCGGCCGGGGCTAGGACGCCCCCAAGTCCCGTCGCCCCCCCTTGGCACCGACAGAGACACAGCCGCCACCACCGCTGCCGCAGCCTGGCTGGGGAGGGGGCCGGCCCCCCAGGCCCCCCACCCCCACTGAGGTGTGGGCGGGAACGGGTTGGGAGGAGGAGGGAGGCGGGGTGGGGGAGGTTTGGGTCTGGGAGGGCCTACTGGGCAGATGGGTGCTGGGGGCGGCGGGGAAGAGGGGCCTGAGGGAGGAAGGATGGAAGGGACGTGAAAGCCCTGGGGACTGGGGGGTGTGGACAAGGAGTCCAGGAGAGGGAGTTCCCTACACAGCCCCGTGATCCCACATAACTCTTGGGGGTGGGAGGCGGACAGGAGAGGTGAGCAGCAGCAGCTTTCTGAGGCACCTGAGGACCTCTTGTCTGTCAGTGGCCTCCACACCCTGCTGGACCCTGACTGACCGCACCTGCCTTGTGGGGCCATGTTTTCTACCTGCGTCTCTGTGCCTTTGGCATGTCTCATGTGCTGCCAGGGTGCCCGTGCTGGCCCTCGGCTGTGCCAGCAATTATTCTCTGTCAGAATTGCCGTTCACTTGTCTTGTGTTGGTGTCTCACAGACTCAGTACTGCATGTGTGTGAGTTTTTCTGTATCGCACTGACTCCATGGTTTCCTATTACTTCCACATTTTACAGCTTGGCATGTTTATTGTAGCAGGTAAAACTTAGCTGATGCTGGCTCCCATCTCGCCTTCTGCAGGCATCTTCAGGTGTGGAATTCCATGGCTTAGCCAAGTCTTGCACACGCTTGGTGTTGGGAGTGAATCAGTCCACTTATGCAGAGTGTTTTCCCCATTGAGGGTCTCACCACACACGTGCCCACCCCTTGGCGTGACCCATTGATGTGAAATATCCCTAGTGTGTGGGCTCCTTGGTGACACATGCTGTTTGCTTCACAGATGTGTTGTCAGTGGGTTTTGTGAGCTGTATGTTCACTACCCACTTGGTGCTCCATTGTATTTGTCAGTCCTTAGACTTGTGTGCTCCAAAGAGAATGGGGTCCCCTCCTACCTCCAGACCATCGTCCCTTTGTGTCCTACCTTGCCAACCCCCAGGCCTGTCTCTCCACACAGCACACACAGGTGCTCTGTGTTCTGGGTTCCACGCTGCAATAGGTCCATTCTGCTGTGACCCCAGTGGTACATGCAGATTTCTAGATCACATGTACCCCCCTTCTCACATACATGGCGACAGCAGCCTTTCTCCTGTGGCAGGTTGTGGTGTTGGTGCGGTTGTGTGCTCTGATGCGTGCAATTCCTTCCTTGCAGCTGTTGCCCCGCCTTGACCACAGCTCCAGGTTGATCGTAGGTATGTGCTCAGACTAGGTTTCTGGGAAGTTGCAGCACATTCAGGACTTTCCCAGTGACTGTACCCAGTATTCCTAGAGAGGGTGGCTGTGTTGGTCACTATGAAAACCACCACCTCTGTCAACCATTATCATGTGGGTGTACATGCAGGCTGATGTTTAGGGCAGCACTGGGGATTAGATGGAATCCCTGGCCTCAGTCTGCTTACAGCCTAGGGGAAAGGAAGATGGAGGTGAACAGTCACTCACAATGTGAGCCTTAGACTCGGGGGTGCACCTGCTGACTGTGGAATCCTGTCCCCAGACCTGCCTCAGTAGCTCTGGAATGAGGCCCCAGCATCGGCACTTCCGAGCCTTGAGAACCAGCTAGAAACACCGTTTGGACAGGTTCAGAAAGGTGACACCGGGCTGCCTGAGGCAGGAGAGGAGCTAGAACAGGTCCAAGGGTCAACGGCAGGGAGGACGAGGGTGTGTATGAAGAACCCAAGGGATTCATCTTGGAGCAGAAAGTGTTTCTGTCAGGATATAAGCACAAGTCAACCTGGGAGGAAGACAGGGAAGGGCTTAGATTCATGTTATAAAAAAATCTCTGGTTGCCACGTGGGAGATAGACTGGGGAGGAAGTTAGGAGGCTGCTGCAAATAGTCCAGGAGAGAGCGCAGGTCTGAGGCTGCAGGGGCGGCGCTGTGGAGCCTGCTGGGTCTTCAGGTTTCCTCCGGCACCTGCCTGTTCCCTGCATCCTGGGCAATAGGCTTCCCTCCCTCTGAGCACAGCCCTTCCTGCCCCAGGGAGGGAGTGCCTCTAGCCTTGATAGGATTGACAGGTATTTCCTGCACTTCTTTTTTTGTGAAATATGACCCTGCCCCCAACACCAGGACTGAATGGAGGAAGGAGGAAGAACCTAGAAGGCAGGTTCTGCGTGCCTGTGCCGCTTCCTCCTGAGCCCTGTCCTGTCCCAGGGAAGGTGGCCTGAATGCCCCTTTCACTGTCCCCTCCTCTACTCACCTGATGACACCTTGCACCAGGACTGCCCGTCCACTTTGCCTCCTTGTCGCTGGAAGGGTGGTAGGATTTGTTGGCCTTGCCTATCTGTGGAGGCAGAACTGGTGAATGTAGCTACTTCAGGTATGTCCTTGAGTTTCCTGGGAATGGGGGAGGCTACGAGGGTGGACAGATTTTTCTAGGTATGCATTTAATTTTTGTGTCTCAGTCGCTGTGTGTGTATGTGAATGTGTCAGCATTAAATGGCTATGTGTTTGCATTAGTGACAGGTGCCTCTGTGGCCGCTGGCACTCCGAATGAGTCCGAGGGTGTTTGTCATCTTCACTGTACCTGCTACGGACTCTGTATATAAAAGCACAGGCTGCTCAGGGTTAATCTGCAAACTACAATCCAGGAGATGTGCAATCTCACCTGTTGTTTGACCTCTCTGGGCCTAGCACCTTAAAAGTTAAACAGTATGAGGGTGTCTTCAAAAAGTTCATGGAAATGCATGTTATGAAAGGGTTTGGTTTTTTTTTTTTTTTCACATCCAAATAAACCAAATAAACTTGTCCTTTGATCCCATTTTCCACAAACTTTTTGAAGTTTCTTTATCATTTACCCTGTGGATCACAACTAAGAATTTATTATTTTTTTAAAGACTTATTTTTATTAGAAAAGCAGGTCTACAAAGAAAAGGAGAGTCAGAGAGATCTTTCGTTTGCTGGTTCATTCTCCAAATGGCCGCAACAGCCGGAGCCAGGCGGAACCAAAGCAAGGAGCCAAGAGCTTCTTCCAGTCTCCTGTGCTTCAGGGTCCCCAGGCTTTGAGCTGTCCTCTACTCTCTCCCAGGCAGGCAGGGAGCTGGATGGAAGTGGAACAGCTGGGACATGAACCAGCATCCATATGGGGTCCCAGCACTTGCAAGATGGAGGATTAGTCAATTGAGCCATTTCTCCAGGCCCCACAACTAAGAGTTTAATATAGTGTATAGACCAGTACTGTCCAACAGAAATATGTGAGCTACATATGTCATTTTTTAAAAAAAGATTTACATATTTGAAAGGCAGTGTGACAGAGACCTTTCACCTTCTGGCTCATTCCCAAATGTCAGCAACAGCCAGGTGTAGGCCAGGCAGAAGCCAGGAGCTAGGAATTTTATCCAGGTCTCCCACATCGGGGAAGGGGTCTAAGCACTCGGGCTGTCATCTGCTGCCTTCCCAGGCACATTAGGACTCTGGACTGAAAGCAGAACAGCCTGTGCTCAAACCAGTGTTCCAATATGGGATGCTAGCTAATACTGTAGGTGGCAATTTACTGGACCCCCCTCCCCCCCACACACATACTTTTTAAAATATTATTTTCTGGTAGACATACTAGAAAAGTAAAAACAGTGAAATTAATATTAATAGACTTTTATTGAACCCCATGTAGCCAAAGGAAATCAATATAAAAGATGAATGGGCTGTTTTACATTCTATTTTTCAATAAGATCTTTAAAGTCTGATGTGCATTTTACACTTCCAGCACATCTTAATCCAGGCTAGCCCTGTCTCGAGTGCTCAGTGGCCACATGTGGTATCAAGACTGCCCTAAGACACTTGCCAGCTGCAAGTGTTGGCAGCCATCACGGCCATTCTAGTCTCATGTATCTGCCCGTCTCATGTCCCTTACCTGTGTTAATATAAGTGTGCTTTGAGACGGGAAAAACAGAATTAAAAGATAAGTTTATTTTGGTAAAAAAAAAAAAAAAGTGTTTTTAATCCATGAATACTTTTTCATGGTACATGGGTTCCATGAACTTTTTGAAGTGCATCTGTGTTTCTGGAACTTTGAGAGAGAGGAGTGGGAGAACCGTCCTGAGCTCTACATTCCTGCCCGCCCCCTCGGGAGGCCTCCCGGGAGGGTGTCCCTGGGAGGGTGTCCTCGGGAGCACTGGGCCCAGTCTGTGCCTCTGGAGCCTTCACAGAGAGGAGTGGGAGAACTATCCTGAGCTCCACACTCCTGCCTGTGCCCCTCCTGGGAGGGTGCCCCCTGTGTCTCTGGCCTTTGTCTTCGGAGCACAGCCCCCACCTCATTTTCTGCATGCTGCTCATCCTCCTCCCTGCCACACACCAAGCTAATTGGCCCTCACTCGGTGCCCTGCAGGTGGCCAGAATGGAGCTGTGGTCCGGGGCATGGACGGTGCTGCTGCTGCTCTGCCTGCTGCTGCTCATCTTGCTGCCCACCCTGTGGTTCTGCAGTCCCAGTGCCAAGTACTTCTTCAAGATGGCCTTCTACAACGGCTGGATCCTCTTCCTGGCTGTGCTCGCCATCCCTGTGTGTGCCGTGCGGGGCCGCAACGTCGAGAACATGAAGTGAGGGGCACAGGGTGGTGGGTGACAAGGGAACCCAGGGCTGAGAAGCAAGTGGTGAAGGCATGGGGAACGGGGGCTGGGTGGGATGAGAGAGGCAAAATACAAGGCAGGGGGGCAGAGGCTGCAAAGATGATTCAGAGGCTGGGGGGAGGGGGAGCCAAAGCCTGCAGGTGGACATCTGTGGCTCCCACCAGGACTCTTTGCTGTGACCCCACAGGATCTTGCGTCTAATGCTGCTCCACATCAAATACCTGTATGGGATCCGAGTGGAGGTGCGAGGGGCTCACCACTTCCCTCCCTCTCAGCCCTACGTTGTCGTCTCTAACCACCAGAGCTCCCTCGACTTGCTTGGTGAGACCCCCAGCCATGTACTCCCTCCTGGAGCCATCCCAAGAATATCCTCAGCTCCCCTTCCTTGAGACTGGTGCCCCTTCACTCCTTCCTCAGGCCAGCTATGCCCCAGTAGGTCTGTCCTAAGAAGGGGTCTTACCCTTTGAGCCATTTTTCCCTTTCCTTGGGGATCCTTCCTGCTAGCATGGGTGAGGACCTGCATGAGCTAAGCTGTACCCTGCCTGCACACCGATCCTTACCCCATGCCCACCCCACCCAAGGGATGATGGAGGTGCTGCCAGGCCGCTGCGTGCCCATTGCCAAGCGTGAGCTCCTGTGGGCTGGCTCTGCGGGGCTGGCCTGCTGGCTGGCAGGAGTCATCTTCATTGACCGGAAGCGCACAGGGGATGCCATCAGTGTCATGTCTGAGGTCGCCCAGACCCTGCTCACCCAGGACGTGAGTCATCCCAGGGAAATGGGGACTGGGCCAGACCAAGGGGCCTCAGCGGTTCACTGCGGTGCCATGCGCACACTGACCCCTGGATGTGTGTGTATGTTGTTCTTGATCTCTTTTCCTGCAGGTGAGGGTCTGGGTTTTTCCAGAGGGAACAAGAAACCATAATGGGTCCATGCTGCCCTTTAAACGTGGAGCCTTCCACCTTGCAGTGCAGGCCCAGGTGAGTGCCACTTCTCTGGCTGCTCAGCCCCCGGCGCAACATCCCTTCCTTGCTGGAACAGGCTGTGGGACTGATGGCGCTTTACCCTCCTGCCCTCCCAGGTTCCCATTGTCCCAATAGTCATGTCCTCCTATCGAGACTTCTACTGCAAGAAGGAGCGCCGCTTCACATCAGGTGAGGACTCAGCACCCTGGGTAGGTGTGGCCCCAGAGCTCCATGGGGGGGAAGAGGGTGACCTTGCATGTCAGAATCTTGAGGTGACCCCCAGGATCACCTGCTCTGAGCCAGTCAGCCCGTGTTTATGAAGTACCCACCCACTCTGCTGCACTTGGTCCTGCAAGAGGGGCTGTCAGTTTCTAGCAGGCCTGTGTATGCAAAGTTGTAATGACCAGCATTGAACCTAGACAGCAGGGGCTGGGGCGGGGGGGTGGTTCCTGCGGTGTCTGGGAAAGCAGGTGGGAAGGCAGGAGGACCCCAGCAAATAGAGTAGGAGGTAGTCCAGCCCAGGAGGAAAACAAAAGGTGGAAGAGAGGAGAGCAGGACTGCTCAGAAACTGGGCCCCACCTGTGGGCAAAGACCCAGGAGGTCAGGCCATGATGGTGCCTCCCCCACCCCAGGGCGATGTCAAGTGCGGGTGCTGCCCCCAGTGCTCACAGAAGGGCTGACACCAGATGACGTCCCAGCGCTGGCTGACGGAGTCCGGCACTCCATGCTCACCGTTTTCCGGGAAATCTCCACTGACGGCCGGGGTGGGGGTGACTATGTGAAGAAGCCTGGGGGAGCAGGCGAGGCCCGGCTCTGAGCTCCCCTCCCATCATCCCACCTTCCCACACCTGCCAACCCAGTGGGCCCTGAAGCAGGGCCAGGCTGTCTATCTTCTTCCCCCTCCCACCACATAGTCTCCTCTTTGGAACCGTCAACTTCTGAATGTGAATCCAGCACCACTCCTTGCCCCTCCCCTGCCCTCCCTCTAGCCCTCACCTCCTGCCACCTTGTCTGTGGGACAGTCACCTTTCCCTCAAGTGGCTCAGCTGACACAGGGGTGTGGAACATTGCAGTCCAACCTCAGTGGACTCTCCTTTGTGCTCCTCTCCCTCTGCATTGACCGTGGACTCCTCTGTTCTGTGGAATAAGCCACCCCCCCTCCCCCGCAGGATGGATTCGGTGGACTCTTCCCCTTGGGAGGAGGAGGAGCCCACAGACTGTGGCTGGAAGCTGAGGCCTGGGGAGCCCCTCAGCCACCCCCCCATGCAGCCTCTGCCAGCTGGGGCTGGACTCTTACAACTGGGGGCTCGGCCCTGCCTGGGCCCACATACCCAGGGTTGACACCCTTCCAAATGCCAGTATGATCTCCACGTTTCTGCCTCTTCCCCACCCCACCCCCACGGTACAATTCTTCAGGGGGCCTGGCCTCAACATGAGCAGGAGGCAGCCAGCAGGTGCTGCACGCACTTTCTGCTCCTGGGGAGTCGGGGAAAGGAACCGAACCCCGGGCTGGAGGGGTAGGAAGGCTTTAATTTATTTTCTTTCTTTCGAGTTTCCCCCTCTTGGAGCCAGTTTTCATTTCCTCCCAGTGGCATTAGGCTCTCCCTGCTGCCCACTCCAGGCCTGTTCCCACAATTGGGGGATGTGGGCTGGGAGCAAAAGGAGAGGTTGGGACCCAGTTTTTGTGGTTGGTTTTTATTCATAATCTGGATAACAGCAAGAAAATGAAAATAAAGAGAGAGAGAGAGATCTGGGCATTTTTGTGTGTGTTGAGTTGAACCAACAGTCTTGGCCCAGCCAGGAGAATCAGGCAGGCTGCAGGACCACCTGCACCCTGGCCTCTGCATTCCTTCTTCCACTCTGCCGGTCCCAAGGCTTCATCTGCAGCTGCTAGGTGCCCAATCCGAGGGGATTAGTGGGGTTCAGTTTCCGTATAAATTAGGGGGGCAGGGTTGCTGCAGAGGCTCTTTAACGTTGATTGAGGCTCCCGCCCAGGCTGTTGTCTTCACAGGAGCCTGGTTAATGACGGGAAGACAGGCAGACCCAATGGGGGCGGGGCAGAGGCTGCCATGCTCCCCCAGCACTGAACTGTGAAACCTCCTTTGCCCCGTGGGTCAAGTGGGCTGGTCGGGGAGAGGAAGGGCAGAGTGGGCTCCCGGGAGAGGGAATCCATCAGAACAGCAGGGGCGATGGGGAGGGGGGAGCTGGGGGACTCACAGGTGCCCAGCCTCTCCTCCAGCAGCAGCACCTGGTCGCTGAGAGAGTCGATTCTGTCGCCTCGGCCCCACAGCTCGGCCACCTGTTCTGGCTGCAGCTCCTCAGGCGGCATGGGCAGCACCGCCCGCACCCAAGCCCCGGCCTGACTGGCCCACTGCCAACAAGAGACACCTCAGGGTGTTGGCGACCGAGTCCACCACGCCACAGACCTGATGCCAGGCACCTCGGCTCACCTGCTCCAACCGCTCCAGGCGCCCTCGCAGCTCGCGAATTTCACGCTTCAGGGCGCGCCCTTCGGGTTCGGCCTCCCGAACTAGGGCAGAGAAGGGAGTGGGGTGACCGGTGCCCGCGCCAAGCCGCCGGCCCCGGGCCCTGGCCTTCACCCACTCACCGGCCACGCTGAGGATACTGGCACTGGTTGGGGCTTCCGGGGGCCCCTCGGTGCAAGTGCGCCCGTCGGGGCCCAGCAGCAGACCGCCAGGGCAGCTGCAGGTGAAGCTGCCCGCTGTGTTGTGACAGCGGTGCGAGCAGAGGGAGACGCCAGCCCTACACTCGTCCACGTCTGCTTACCGGAAGGAGCAAAGGGCTCGGCGGGGGCACGGGCGGGGTGGGGGGGCGCCGCTGGGAGGGGGCGGAGGCGAGGCGACTCACCCACGTGACAGTGCTTCCCCCCCCAGCCGGGGGCGCACTCGCACTGGTCCGGCCGGACGCAGCGGCCTCGGTTCTGGCAGGGCTTGGTGCAGATGGCTGCGGGGCGGTGGAGATGGGGCTCAAACCTCCTGCACCTCCCCCGCGCCGCCCGCACGGCCCAGACACTGCCTCACCTTCACAGGTGAGCGCCCCGGGGTGCCGCTTCTTCCAGCCCTGGCAGCACGTGCTATGAGTTTGGAGCACCTCGCGCCTCACCTCCCGCCATGCCACGCGGTAGGTGGTCCTGAAACAGAGCGCCCGCCTAGGGTGGTGTTTCTTGGGGTTCTCTGAGAAAGCCCAGAGTCCCGCTCCCTGTCCCTCACCTGTAGGTGCTGCAGACCTGCCTCCCGGAGCACAGCGTCAGGTAGGGCTTGTACACTGGTTGGCTGTAGGATTCGTTGTAGCGGAGGGGGACTAGCAGTGTCTGCTTAGAGCAGACCCCCTGGCTGCGGCCATGCCAGAGAAACATTGAGTGGGTGAGGGCCGGAGGACCCAGCAGCCCCCCACTTGCCTTCTGGGAGCACTGATGCCCAGCTCCGGATTCCCGGAGGAGACAGCCTCTCATGTCTCCTTTGGCCTCCTGTGGAGTCCGCTCCAGGAGAGGCTCCCGCAGACCCCACCGCACCCCCATCCCCTGGGCTGTCACCTCTCTTTGAGGGTTCCACTCCTCTTGGCCCCCTCAGCCGACATCAGCAGGAGGAAGAAGAGTTGGCTTAAGAGAATGTGCAGCTCAACCCCTGACCCCATGGTTTCTCTTTCAGTTTGGATTTTGATGGGCTGCAGGCAAGAAAAGATGAATGGGTGTCCTTCCCCTCTCCTGCTAACTTCTCCAGCCCCAGCAAGAGCGGTCTGCCTGTTCCCGCTAAGGAAGTGACAACTCTAGCCTTTACACCAAGATTGTCCACACCTGTGTGTATCCTCTGCATAGCCTGGGGGACACACACCTGGTTATCCCTCCCCCAGGACCATCCCATCTCTAATATGACCTCTAACTTCATCCTTCAAAACCCGAGAAGCAGGTACACATTCACACCTTACACACAAACCCAAGCAACCAGACTCCACACCTCAAGCCTTCCTACTGCCTTCACACACCTTAAAGGTGTACCCCAGCTTAGACCATGTCCCCCAACTCACACGACTCTGAGTGACACCCTCCTTCTCATTCCCCATTAACATTCTCTCCCCACCTGGCTTCCCCTCTCTCCTGGGAGACTTCAGGCAGACAGAACAGTCTCAGCAGCAGTAACTTGGGCTGGTGGGTGGGCCTCTCGGGCCGGGAACCAGAGGAGGGGCTGGGCCAGACAGGGTCCTCCCATTGCTGCCTTTTTCCACAAGCCTCCTTCTTAGCTCCAGCCTGGTCAAGTCAGTGGGGTCAGGTCCCACTGCTGTCACTCCCACCACAACAAAAGGGTCCCTAGAAATATCTTTCCAAGCCTATGAGCCCACTACTTCAGGCTTCTCAAAGACAACAGAAGCTGCTGGCCCTAACAGCAGCTCCCTAACACACACACCTTCAAGCCAGCTATCTGGCAGAGAGTTAGGGGCACAGAGAGACAGCGCAGCTAGGGAACAAAGCGGTTCAGGTCTCAGAAGCAACAAGATCAGCTGACAGAAGCATGGAGGGCAAGTTGTCCTAGAGGGTAATGGGGCAGCCCAGGGCATGGAGGGAGAAAATTGTCCTCATCTCTTGACGACATTTGTTAGGCCTTAGGGGCCAGAGTTGAGTCAGTCTCCACTCCCGATGCCAGAGCAGACAGGGCCCTATTGTCTCCATCAAAATTCCTTGTTTCAAGGAAAAGGAGGCTCATTGTCCGGCCCCTCACCAAGCTCTGACCAACAAAGGTCGAAAAGGGGCGCGACAAATGCCCACACTGACCCTCAGCCCCCTCGTCTAGGCTGGGAAGGCATGCCCATTTCACCCACAAGGTGGTGGCCCAACCCCACTGGAGCCCCAGGCTCGGCCCCCCCAATCTCAGGCTGGGACAGGAAGAGAATTGTCTTCAGCAGGAAAGAACCCGCAGAGAATCAGGAACCCACACAGAATGGGCCTTGAGAAAGCGGAAACACCATGGGGGTCCCCACCCCAAAGCAGGCATCCGGGTACCCAGGCCTTGGGCCCTCCATCCCCTCCCTTTTTGAGGAGCCAGGTCTCCACATGGAAATGAGCCAAGCCACGCTGAGGAAATGCAACTTTATTCCCATAAATACAGGAGAAACACCCATTCTAGGGCAGTTAAAAGAGGGGCTGGGGCCTCAAAGAAACTAGGCCCCTAGGGGTACCCCAACACTGATCATAGGGACTGGGGGATCCCCAAACCTGAGATGGGCCTCACAGGCCACAGATATTCCCCAACACTGACACTTCAAAAACGGAACTGTCCCCATAGGGGAGCCTCACTCTCACTTGGTCTTGCTTGGGAGTGAGGAGAGCTGACACACAGGGGAGTTCAGAGAAGGGAACATGAGAGAACAGAAGCTACAAATGTCCTGAGTGGCCTGAGGGAGGGAGGCCCCTATGGCACACAGGGGCTGGGTTCTCCTCCTGTGCAGCCAGATATGGAGGAGGAGCAGCAGCAGCAGCAGCCACAAGTTAAAAACCTGGATCTTCACATCCCAACCTCAGCCCCGGGAGAAAGGGGGAGCCCGGAGCACCCTCCAAAGAGGGCGTGAGGTAGGGAAGCCCAGGACCTGTCGCTTGTCGGGGGGAGGAGCAGAGGAGGCGAATCTGGGAGCCCTGATTGGTGGGGGCAGTGTGGGAGCTGGGAGGTGGTCACAGGGCGCACCAGACCACCTGCTTTCCAGGACCCCCATCAGGTCTCTGGGCTGAGGAGTTCCTGGGGAGCCCCAAGAGCATCCTCAGGAGAGCCAGGGTTTGATGCAGGTTTCGTAGAGGGTGCGGTTGGAATGCCAGGTTGTGTGGGAGATCCCGGCCATCGGACACCTCACTATGGCCCCCCGTGCCAACAGAGTCTTCAAGCCGAAAGAATCACGTAGATAAACCTTCAAGTGGGGAAAAGCATGGGAGAAAGACACAAGGAGAGACCTGGTGAGTTACTGAGGTGTCCCGGGGCCCATCCCCACAGGGTCAGGGACAGGGAGATCTCTGGGGTGAAATGGGACAGTGGGTGAAGTGACCCCAAAGTGCTCACCAGTTGATCTTCCATCTCCAAGACAGTCTCGTTTGCATCATAGAAACCGAAGAAGCTACGAAGAGATGGGGGAGGAGTTATCAGGAGAGCTGGCGGGGGCAGGATACCAAGCTGGGATGGGACCCTGTAGGAACACTCAAATCTCATTTAAAGGATGGGACCTGGATCTGATGGTGAAGAATCCCACAGGGTAACCAATTCATAGGTTTCAAATAATGTCAACGTCCATAGGCAAGGACTGTGTAAATATTCCAGATTAATATTAAAGAACTAAAGAGACAGGACAACTGGGGTGAGCATGGAGGCATAGCCAGTTAAACTGCTACCTGCAGCCCATACCACAGTGGGACAGTCCAGCTTTAAGAAAAAAAAAAAAAAAAAACCCACTTGAAAGGCAGTTACAGAGAGACGGAAGGACAGATATTCCATCTTCCATCTAAGGGTCACTCCCCTAAATGGCCACAATGGTCACAGCTGGGTCACTCTAAAGCTGGGAGCCAGGAGCATTCTTCTGGGTCAGCCATGTGGGTGCAAGGGACTGTTCTTTGCTGCTTACCTAGGCCATGAAGTAGAGCAGCTGGGCCATGAACTGGAACTCATATGAGATGCCGGCAGTACCATTAAGTAGAGGCCTAACGTGTTATGCCACAGTATGCCTATATATTCCACTTTTTGTTTTGTTTTTAAGATCTATTTACTTTTATTGGAAAAGCAGATATACAGAGAGGAGAGACAGAGAAGAAGAACTTCTGTTTGCTGATTCACTCTCCAAGTAGCTGCAATGGCTGGAGCTGAGCTGATCTGAAGCCAGGAGCTTCTTCTGGCTCTCCCATGTGGGTGCAGGGTCCCAAGGCTTTGGGCCATCCTTGACTGCTTTTCCAGAACACAAGCAGAGAGCTGGATGGGAAGCGAGGGCCACCAGGATTAGAACCAGTGCCCATATGGGATCCTGGTGAATGCAAAGTGAGGACTTTAATCACTATGCTATTGTGCCGGGCCCATATTTACATATTTAGAAATAAAGAAATGTCATTCCTGCAGGCTACCTCAAAGGGTACACTATTTAAATATTCACTATATTAAGTATGTTTGCATATTAGCATATGCAAAAGAATATAAAATACACTCAGGGGGCTAGTGCTGCAGCCCAGTGAGTCAAGCCTCCATCAGCAGCACCAATATCCCATATGAGCACTCACTCTAGCCCTGGCTGCTCTTTCAGTCCCGCTCTCTGCCAATCTTCCTGGGAAGGCAGTGGAAGATGGCTCAGGTCCTTGGGCTCCTGCATCCATGTGCAGACCCAGGTGAGGCTTCCGAATCCTGACTTCAGCCTGTCCCAGCCCTTGCTGTTGTAGCCATTTGTGGAGTGAACCAGCAATTGGAAGAGATCTCTGCCTTTCAAATAATTAAATAATCTTTATTTTTAAAAAAGGTCTTAATGAAAACATGGTAAAATGTTGATTTGGGAAACCTAGCTTTATACTATTTTGGTAACATTTTTTAGGAAAAAAAAAATTATTTAAAGATTTCTCAGAGGGCCTGATGCAGTAGCCTAGTGGCTAAAGTTCTTGCCTTGCATGTGCTGGGATCCCATTTGGGCACTGGTTCTGATCCAGGAGGCCCCACTTTTTATCCAGTTCTTAGCTTGTGCCCTGAGAAAACAGTTGAGGACGGTCTAAAGCCTTGGGACCCTGCACCCACGTGGGAAACCTGGAAGAGGCTGCTGCCTTCAGACTGGCTCAGCTCCAGTCACCGAAGTCACTTGGGGAGTGAACCAACAGACAGAAGGTCTTTCTCTCTGTATCTCCTTCTCCCTGTATATCTGCCTTTCCAGGTAAAAAAAAAAAAAAAAAAAAAAGAGATCTGACAGAGTTAAAAACCAGAGAATTCTTCCATCCATCCACCAGTTTAATCTCCAAATGTACACAATTAGGCCGGACCAGACCAAAGATAGGGACGTGGAACTTCACCTGGGGCTCCCACAACATGTGTAGCAGGAGCCCTGGTCCTGGGGCCATTATCCATGGCTTCCCAGGCACAGCTACAGGATGCCGAAGGGAAGCAGAGTGCTCTTGATTAGGTACTCTGACGTGGGATGCTGGCATCACAGGCACTGGCCCGATCCACTGCACCACAGTGGCAGCAGCAGTAACTTCTCATTACTTTTTTTGTTCTTAAAGATTTCTTTATTTTTGCTGGAAAGGCAGATCAGATTTAGGGAGAGAAGTAACAGAAAGATATTCTATATACTGTGTTACTCCCCAAACGGTCGCAATAGCTGGAGATGAGCTGATCCACAGCCAGGAGCCAGGAGCTTCTTCCCAGTCTTCCATGTGGGTGCAGGACCCCAAGGATTTGGGCCATGCTCTACTTTCTCAGACCATAAGCAGGGAGCTAGAAATGAAGTGGAGTAGTTGGGACATAAACCAGCTCCCATGTGGATCCCGGCACTTGCAAGGTGAGGGTTTAGTCATTGAGCCATTGCATTGGGCCCAAGCTGCAATAACTTCTAAGTATGCATTATTTAAAACCAGTCCCAGGGCCCAGATCCTATACCGGCATGGGAGACTTGCAGGAAGACCCTGGCTCCTGTCCTCAGATCAGCTCAGCTCTGGCCATTGTAGTCCTTTAGGCAATGAGCCAGTAGATGGAAGATCTTTTCAAACAAAAAAAGTCTTCAGATTAAAAAAAAAAAAAAAAAAAAAAAAAAAAACAAAGAATATTTAGCTCAGGTACTGAGAGGACCCTGACCACAAGTAACAGAAAAGCTCATTGTGTTGGGACAACAGGCCACAGGAACAGAGGATGGGCCACGTCCTAGTTTTAGAGCATCAGCACAGGATTTGATCGCCCTGGGCTCCTACACTGGGGAAGGCTGTTTCGCAAAAAAGGGACAGTGACAGGCAGAGAGGTGAGGTATGGCTGTGGGCATGAGGGGGCCGTGCTGAGGAGCTGGATGGCAGATGTGGGAAAGCAGGAAGGTCACAGCTCTGCTGGACACTGTTCAGTGTGCGTCTGTCACCTACCTACCTCACCATCATTAAGACTCACAGCCTGACTTCACCTATCCACCCTGAATGTGGGCCCTGCCTCCTTTGGTGCCAGGCGAAAATAACCATGATTACCTTGTATTGTGCGGTTATCAAGAGGCTAAAGGAGCTAACAGAAACACTTGAAACAGCACCTTAGGACCTGGGTGGGGACTATCAATCCTGTGCTGGTTGTGGGTGGGAAATGAGATCCCTTACAACTGTGCTATTACAGTATTGTAAGGAGTGTCACCTCTTCACGCAGCACCTGCTGTCTCATGCATTCCCATCTCACTCAGAAGAAAACAAATGAAAGGCTGGGAAGAGGGAGGGATGAGGACTTATCATTTAGGCAGCACAGGACTTTCAGTTTGAGGAAGGAACATTTTAAAGGTGGATAGTGGTGGTTTCCTGCCTGACAATATGGATTTTTGTTAACATTACAAAACTGTGCTTAAAATTAATTAAAATAAGGCCCGGCATGGCAGCCTAGCAGCTAAAGTCATCTCCTTGCATGCACCAGGATCTCATATGGTGCATTGTGTTCCCATCCAGCTGCCTGCTTGTGATCTGGAAAAGCAGTGGAGGACTGCCCAAAGCCTTGGGACCCTGCACCCGTGTGGGAGACCTGGAGGAAGCCCGTGGCTCGTGGCTTCAGACTGGCACAGCTTCAGTTGTTGCAGCCACTTGAGGAATGAATCAATGGATGGAAGATCTTTCCTCTGTCTCTCCTCCTCTCTATTTATCTTACTTCACAATAAAGTTAAACAAATCTTTAAAAAATTAATCAAAACAGCAATCTAAGTGTTACCTAAATTTTATTTAAAAAAGAAAATCAGGGTCTTACTCTGACACACAAAGGCTCCATGTAACCAGTACCCTGTGGCCCCTCTGCCTGCTCTCCCCAGCACCTTGTGCTCTGGCCGTCCAGTCTTCTCACTCCTCACACCTGCCCCAGGGCCTTGGGGGAGCCACTCCTCCCCTACACTGTTGCGCCATTCCCTCCCTCATTTCCTTCAGTCTGTATTCAAATCAAACTCCAGAGCCACCGTGCACAATAGTTCCCAGTGACACTCTGACCCCTTTCCCTGCCTTATTTTGTCATGTAACATGCTTCAGTAGTAACTATAGGCCTCCCCGAGTAGATAAGCCACCTAACACAGGGACTTGTCTTGACCGTCACGTCCCCATGGCCTGGAACAGTGTGTGGACACATCATGCTCAATCAGTTTGGGCAACTGAAAGCGCTCAGGTAGCATTTCAGATCATCCATGACAGGGGCATGGACTAAGTGCCACAAAGCCTCAGATGTTCCTGAGCACGACAAGGAGAGCACAAGGCTGAGGCAACTGATGGCTGCGCAGGGCAGGGCACCGGAGACGAGGGGCTGGTCTGCTCTGGACCCGGCACGTCTCCCAGGCTTCAGCCTGGAACAGGAGGGGCCACAGGAGCCAGTTACGTCACCGACCTGGCAGGATTCCAGTTGACCAATGACACACATGAATGGACATTCCTTATATAGTTGGGGCATAAACAGCCCCTTTGCCTGCCCACGTGTCTATAGGCGCATAAAACTCCTCAACACGTGTCTCAGAGGCCCTTTTTGCCTCCATTTTCCTTTCCCTTTGTGTGAAGGGGGCCAGGAGTGGATTTTCCAATAAAGCTTCCATTACAACTTTGAACAACTTGCTGATATTATTCCACCAGTGGGAGGGCGGTCAGTGGTCATCATCCAACAGCAATGAGAATGTTATAGACAGATAAAAAAGTGGGAGGAAATATAATAAATCAGGACCTGCTGCAATGGCTCAATTGGGTAATTCTCCCCTTGCAAGTGCCGGGATTCCATTTGGGAGCTGGTTTGTGTCCCAGCTACTCCACTCCTCATCCTGCTCTGCTTGTGGCCTGGGGAGGCAATAGAGGACGGCACGAAGCCTTGGGACCCTGTACCCACGTGGGAGACCCCAAAGAAACTCCTGGCTTTGGATCAGCTCAGCTCCAGTCACTGCGGCCACGGGGGAGTGAACTGATGGTTAAAAGATATTTTTCTCCATCTTTCTCAGCAAATATGCCTTCTCAATAAGAATAAGTAATATTTTTTAAAAGTACAATAAAATGACATAGAGTTAGATACACACACAGCACCAAAACCAATTTTCTAACTTTTCTATTGCTCTAATGATGCAAAATGCAACCCTTGGGGATATGGGGTACGCAGAGCCCTCATGTCATCTTTGCCATTTCCTAAGATTCTCTGAAATTACACATTTTTTTTTTTTTTTTTACCCAGAGCTATGGTGGTAAGGATGGAAAGGAAGTAGATACAGTAGGACGTAATGACCAGCCAGACACAGGGCTTGGGGTATGACCTGCAGGTTTGGTCTGGGAGGGCAGAAGGAATGGAGTGGGGAGGCATTAGCTGAACGGCGGGAGGGGCAGGCCAGATCCAAGCAAGAGACAGAGACTGATGGGCTAAAGTCCTGAAGGGAACGTGTTTAGGTAATCTTCAGGCCACACAGGCCCCTCTTACCTGGATTGCCAGGGAGTGATAACACCATCGTCAGGACCCCCAATCAGCACCAGGCGGCCCACACGAAGGAAGTTCTTTCGCCATGCTGCAAGGAGAAAAGAAGACAGCCCTAGTCAGCCACCGGGGCCAGGCCAGAGGGAAGGACATAGGAGGTCGGAGTCGCAAAGGGGAGACCCAGCAGCATGTGGCTCACCAGTAGCGTTGGGATGGTCTCTTTCTCCATTGATGAGAGCCAGAAAGCTGCTGGCATTGAGGTACAAGTCATCATGGTGAGGATCTGGGGACAAAGAGCAGTTCCAAGTTAGAGAAGGAGCAGTCAGGAGGCTGTGCTTACAGGTAGTTAGTCGGGTAGTGGGAGTAACAACAATTATAAACAGGGCAGCAGGCACTCCTATACTTCTGTACAGCACCCACTGTAAGGCAATGTTGTTCAAAGAACATGAAAGCAATTCCACGAGGGTCAAGCTCTGTTAATATTTCACAAATGAGGAAAGCTGAGTCACAGCAAAGTTAAGCACCTGACCCAAAGTCACACAGCATGGTCAATGACCCAGGGGTAAAAACCTACCCTGTCACTTTTATATTTTTAGGATTTACTTATTTGGGTGACCATAGTCAACGACCAAGAGGTAAAACCTACCCTGTCACTTTTTCTTTTTTTTTTTAGATTTATTTATTTTTTATTGTAAAGTCAGCTATACAAAGAGGAGAGACAGAGAGGAAGATCTTCTGTATGATGATTCACTCCCCAAGTGACCGCAACAGCTGGAGCTGAGTCCATCTAAAGCCACGAGCCAGGAGCTTCTTCCAAATCTCCCATGTGGGTGCAGGGTCCCAAGGCTGTGGGCCGTCCTCAACTGCTTTCCCAGGTCACAGGCAGGGAGCTGGATGGGAAGCAGGGCTGCTGGAATTAGAACCGGCGCCCATGTGGGATCCTGGTACATTCAAAGCGAGCACTTTAGCTGCTAAGCCACTGCACTGGGCCCGTCACTTTTATATTTTTAAGATTTACTTATTTGGATGACAAATCTTCCATCCAAAGCCAGAAGCCAGGTCCTCCAACAACAAAATCTCCTCTAGAAGGACATTATGACCCTGGAAGGTCAGCGAGCACAGGATTACAATTGATTGAATAATATTTATATAAGAACAACCAAATGGATACCTTTTTATGTATGAGAACAGTTGAGTAGACAGCATGTGAATGAGAACAGCTGGTGGAATACTCAAAAGGAGTTCCAAACAAAAATATAGAAACAGTTGATGGGTTCTGTTGATAAGCTCAATACTCCCTCCCTTATCCCATATGACCCTCAGTGTATAAAGTCTGATGCCACTAATAAACTTCGGCTATTGACCATCAGTCAGTAGTTCATGCGTGTTATTATCAGTTCTGTGCACCAAGTCCATTGCTGTGGGACAGCGACAGTCTCCCACAATGGTGGCAGAGACCCACGTGCTTGGGTCCGCATCGGCTGCCTTCCCAGCAGGTGCAGTAGCAGGAAGCGGGATGGGAACCACAGCTGCTGGGACGGGAACCAGGCACTGAGATGAGACAGAGATGACCCGAAAGTGCAGCGAAACCTACTACGCCACAAAGCCTGCCCCTGCCACTTGATTTTGTAGGAAAAAAGTTGGCTGGAATCATTTATTTATATATTCACATTTATTTACATAAGGTCTGCAGCTATCTTCAGACTACAACCAAAGCCAGCAGCCCTGGCAATAATTTCATGGCCTACATAACCCAAAATATCTTGTGTCTGGCTCTTTACCGAAAAGGGTTGTGGTCCCAGGCACCTGACACATCACCTCAGGCTGTGAGGCGAGACAGCAGTTCAGATGCGCAGTGCTAGGAACATGAGGTTACTGTCATTACTGTAGGGGTGACAGCCACAGCCTGCACCCCTAGGATGCCCTCTCTGTGGGGGCCCCAGTTCCGCACACCCAACTCACCGTGCCAATAGTTGCAGATAGAGAACTCCTGGCCCCAGGGGCTATAGCAGATCCGGTAGAGGTTGGACCGCATGGAGGTGGGGAACAGCCACTTCAGGTAGTCAGTATCTGGTAAAAGAATGGCAGTGCCAAGTGACCACAAACCTTGGTGCCCTGCAAGCCAGGGCCTTCCATGCAGCCCACCATGCCCACTCACCCCCATACTGTCCCATCTGTGGCGAGGAGAGGGAGATGAAAGAATCCACGTTATGATCATCCATGACCGAGAGCAGCGCCCGGCACACAAGGCCCCCTGGAGAAAGAACACCATTGTCGGGGGGAGGGAAGGGGAGCAGGGTCTCAGGGGCAGCAAGGCAAGGAGACACCTCCTAGCCAGACCGAACACATAGCAGAAGTCCAGAGAAGGCACACACACCTTATCCCAAAGGCCACCTGTCCCGTGACAGAGCCAGAATGGGGTCTAGGCTTGCTGGCTGTAGGTGCTTCTAAGAGCCCCCAGGCCCTTAAGTGCCAGAACCGAGAACAGCAGTCCAGGGGGCCTGCCAGCCCACACTGGGGACAGGGACATAAGACCAGGTGCCGAGGACAGTCAGGAGAGAAAGGGTTCAGGTGCCAGGGAGCCCTGTGACTGAGGACAGGGGCACAGGGAGGCATTTCTCAGACAAGCATCGGACCTCAGACAGTGCTTAGGAGTCGGGGCAGGGGGGCATGCCTACCCTGAGAGTAGCAGATGAGGTGCACTCCTTGAGGAGCCTTGGCCATGATGGGGGCCACTGCCTCTCGGAAGCCTTGCACCTGTTCCCACAGGGGCCGCAAGCTCTCTCTCCCATCGAAGAGATCCAGCACCGTCACCACAGTCCCCGGGTGTGTCTGTGGGGGAAGGAGGTGAAAACTAGGGAAGTGTCCCGCCCCCCTGGACCGTGTCCACACGCCCCCTCCGTCCTGCTAGAACCTAGGGTGCTGGTCCCCCAGCTCTCTCCGCGCCAGCAGACCCACTCCTCTTGGAACCGGGCAGGCCCCCACTACCGCAGTCTCCGCCCCCCCCCAAGCCTCACTGCCAGTGCCTTCGCAGGAGGCGCCCCACCACAACAGACCTCGTTGATATATTCCAGCAGGTGGCGGAAGCTGTACGAGCTGTCAAACAGCCCATGCACCACAATGACCGGCTTGTAGGAAGTGCCGCGGGGTGCGGGGGCTGCGGGCAGCAGCAGCAGCAACCAAACCGGCAGGAGAAGCAGGACCCAGGTCCAGGGCAGCTGCTGCCCCCTGAGCCCCAGCATGCTCCTGGCTGGGAAGGGAGAGAGAAGAGAGAGCCCGTGAGGGAGATGACAACTCCTCCTCCCCCTCGCAACAGACGCCCGGCAATCAAGTGTGCCCTTCCAGCTCCCACGGCAGGTCCTGGTCACAAAATAACTTACTTTCCACTCAGTGCTGCCCCACCCCACCCCACACACTCCTCTCCACCGCGCAGGTGCACCCGAGCGCACCTGATGTCCCGCCCCCAACTCAGCGCTCCGGGGGTCCAGGGTCCCCAGGACGAGGACCTTCCTAAGGCATCACACACCAACCACGCGCAAGCCGCGGTTCTGGACCACTCCGAGCAGCAAGCCAGGACTCCCCGCAGAGCGCAGCCTCCCACCTGGCCTGTGTCCCCGTAGGCCTCGGTCCTCCCGCTGTTTACTTCTCCCGTCTGGAACCCGCGGGGTAGGGAAGTGGGTGTGAGAAGTCAGCGCGCCAGGAACGACGGCTTGGAAGCGGGGAGGGCCGCTCGGGGTCGCGCAAAGCCGTCACGTCCGGGGCTTTCCCTGGCAACTGTGCGGGCGTCCCCCGTAACGCGGCCCGGGACCGGAGGGGCGCTGGAACATTCCATTGCGCCCGAGGAGAGGGGGGTAAAATGGATGGAGCGATCCATTCAAGCCAGTGGAGAGAGGGAGAAGCAACGAATATTCTGGCGGCACCAAAAGAAGGCCGTGCTGCACCCCAAGTCCCCAGGGCCTCGTTTTCCCGGCTTTGATGTGCCCCCGCCTTCCAGTTCAGGCGTCTGACTCCGCAGCGGAACGCGGAGTTCCCAAGGGAGACGCTGCGGAGCGGCCGGGGCAGGGGAGGGGGTAGGGGAGCTGCGCCTGCTGCTGCCCGCCGGCCGAGCGCCTGCAGGGCCCGGAGGACTGATGGCAGCCCCGGAGAGCTCCTGGGCGCCCGCCCGCCCGCCCCGGGTCAGCGCCTTACAACTCTTGGTTCTGAAGTGCGTGTAGCAAGCTTGTCTCCAGAGACGCGGAGAGTCCTTCAGGCCCCTCAAGCCAAGTGCAGCCTGGCCCAGTTGCTCCCTCGCGTCTCAGCTTCCCTCCCCAAGGACGACCCACCCCCAGGGGGGCGGAGAGCCCCCGGGGCCACGCCGACTCACGCCCTCGTGACCTCCGCAGACCTTCCGACCTAAGCGACCCCTACGATCCAGCCCTCCGTGGGCGCCTCCCAACGCAGACCCTGCTTCCCCACCTCCACCGCAGGCCTCGGGCGCCTGCGCCCCCCTCCTCTGCAGCTCCGCTCCCCCTACCCGATATGCCAGCGCGGCGGCCACAGCTCGGTTTGTGAGGGCTTTTACTCGGTATCTGAAGAAGCGACCATGGAGGAAAGGATTTCCCAGCAGGTCTGAGCACCTCCCTCCGTTCCTAAGCTCTGGCCTCGGGCGGTCCCAGCCAAACCCATTTGCGCTCGGAATTGTGTCAAGTGGGGATGGGCTGGGGGCGAGGAATCTGGGCCTCACGCGCACGCCTGAGAAACCAGAACGATCGGTGGGAGGCTGCGGTCGCAAGTCCCGCAGTCGGGTGGTCTCCCGCCAGGACGTGGACAGCGATTCGAGGCGGGGCCTGGGGAGAGCTCTAGAACGCAGAAGCGGGGGTTACAGGGATGTCTCCCGCTCTGTTTCTGCGAAAAGGCCAACTGGTGGTGGAAATCTCGCTAGACTGCCTGGCCTCAGCCCCCTCCCCACCCACGCGCTTCCAAGACGCCAAACGCAAATAAAAAGACTGCAATAACCGGGTGCCTCAGGTCGCGCTGGAGGTGGAGCTGCGCGTGGGCGGGGGTTGCCGGCAGGGGATGTGGGGAATGGAGGGGAACACGGGCTGGCCCAGGCAGTCCCAACAGGCGGAGGTGGAAGGGTAGAGCAAACGTGCCTTCCGCCGCCCCGCTGCTCGGTTGCTCTCTCCTGACGCCTTTGCAGAGCAGGTGCCTGTACAGCCTCCCAAGCCCTCTCAGCCTCCTCCCCATCTTCAGCCCCTGCCGACCTGGCTATGCCCAAGTGATACCCCTGATCATCCCACTTTACTTCAGGCCCGGCTGTGTCCTGGAAACTTTTTAGACCCTCTCAGTTTTCAGTTTTGCCCAGAGCTCTCTCACACATGGCTGTCTGCTAAAAATGGAGAAAACTAGGGCCGGGGGCTTGGGAGAAGACCTTGGTGCCTTACAGGGAGGGAAGGAGACGTGCCTGAATGACCCAGGTCTGGAGGGAGGACCTGGGATATAGAATCTACTGTGCACCTGCTTGCTTCCTCCCATAACACAACCCCTAAAGCTAGTCTTGGAGGGGAAGACTCTAGAGAGTTCTCTCTCCCTCCTCCCTTCCTTTAGTCCCTCCCCCTTCGCCTGGTCTTGCCTCCCTGTTTCCATGACAACTCCAAGGGAGCCTAAACTGGGGGCTTGAATGCCAGGGTGAGAGGAGGAGAGAGGTGGTCCAAGTGCAGAGAGAGACGGAGGAGCCGGAGTGGGGGCACGTCTGGAGCTCTCCCCTCCCTTGTCTCGGTCCCTTTAAGCTCACCCCCCCTTCTACCCCCCCAGTCCCCCCTCCCGCCGCTGTCTTCATCTCTCCATCTCTGCGCTGTTGCTGGCTGCGCCATCCGGCACCCGGACTCTGGACCCAGCTGGGGTTCCTGACTCCAGCAGCGGGGACCCTGTCCCAGCGAGACCACAGGCATGTCATCGGAGAAGTCAGGTAAAATAATAATAATAATAATAATAATAACAACATCTCCAGCCTGCTCTGTGGTCTCCTGAACCTACTCCTCCCCCACCCCTTCCCTTACCTGCCCCCCTCCCGCCCCCCCCCCCCGCCCGCTGGTGCTTCTGTTCCAGTTCTCTGCTCTCCAGCTCTGAACTCCCCAAGGCCCCCTCCTTGCTTCTTCTCCCTCCCCCTGCCTGCCTTTCCTCTTTCCAGTCTCAGCGTGTGCCCCATGACCAATACCCTGGGTGGGGGGCAGGTGGAGAGGGTGAGGGTGGCCCAGGGTGGCTGAGCATCCGCCAGGGACTGCAGGACTAGCTAGCATCTTTGGGAGTGACAGATGGACAGTCTCTGGCTCACAGGGAGACATCCAGTGGAGAAATGTGGAGAAACAAGATCAGAAGGGGGTTGGTTCAGGGGTGGGGGGACTAAAATGCCCAGAGAACAGGTCCAGAGATTTCCAGATTGCCTACGGCACCCCAGTGCTGCAGGAACCGCACTGTGGAACACGCCGTTCCACTTGTGTTTATGCAACTGTTGAACACATGTCAACACGACCTACCGCGTTGCCATGTGTATAAGTGGGAACACACAGGCCAGCCCCAAGGAACCCACAGCACCAGAACAGCCCGCTGGGTCTGTGTGTGAGAGCATGTTGCCATTGACCCAAAAGAGAAGCAAGAGTTCTGACCTGGAAACAAGACTGACAGCAAGGGGGAGGGGGTGCTGGCCTAGATACAACCCCTCTGTGACCCCAGAATGAGACAGGGCTTCTCACCGCATCTCTCTCCTCCCTCCTTCCTATCTCCCGGCTATGTCTGTGGTCTCTGCCCTGGTCCCATTCCCAGGCCTCCCAGACTCAGTCCCTCACACTTCTCCACCGCCCTACAATGCCCCCCAGCCCCCAGCCGAGCCCCCCGCCCCTCCCCCACAGGCAACCCCCTCCTCGCACCATCATCACCACCACCACTACCACCAGTCTGGCACCGCCACCCTCCCGCGTTTAGGAGCCGGCGGCCTGGCCTCCTCTGCGGCCGCGGCTCAGCGCGGTCCCTCGTCCTCGGCCACGCTGCCCCGGCCCCCGCACCACGCGCCGCCCGGCCCAGCCGCCGGGGCGCCCCCGCCAGGATGTGCTACCTTGCCCCGCATGCCTCCCGACCCTTATCTGCAGGAGACTCGCTTCGAGGGTCCGCTTCCCCCGCCGCCGCCGGCCGCCGCCGCCCCGCCACCGCCGCCGCCCGCCCAGACCACCCAGGCCCCGGGCTTCGTGGTGCCCACGCACGCGGGGACGGTGGGCACGTTGCCGCTGGGGGGCTACGTGGCGCCCGGCTACCCGCTGCAGCTGCAGCCATGCACCGCTTACGTGCCGGTCTACCCGGTGGGTACGGTGAGTTCGGGGGGACGGGGAGGTGAGGGGGAACCTGGGAGGAGAGGGGCAGGTGGAATGGGAATGGGGGACACACAAGCGGCTGAGGGGATGAAGAAGCAGGTGTCGGTGCGAGACCCATCCCAGAGAACACCGAGAGGAGTCAGGGATCTACTGGGGTTATAAATCAGGCCGAGGAGGGGGAAGGGAGCCTGGAGGGCCCAAGTTGAGGCGACCTGGAGCGAACCCAGGTCGAGGCGGAGCAGCACAGGCGGGGGTTGGGGGTCAGTGCAGAGGAAGCGTCCAGACTGCGCTGGGCAGCGTCCAGAGATCTGGCAGGAGTATGCAAACTCCGAAGAGGCCCGAATACTGCTGCTGAGGCCAGAACTTGGAGGGTGCGATTGACAGCCGAGAGGGGCGGAGGTGCGAAATTTCTAGATGTCCTGAGTAGGTAGCAGCAGGTGATCCGCTTCTTTGAGTAAGGCAGGGACTTGTGGAACCCGCAGCGGGGTCGGGGTGTGGGGGTGTCGCCGTGACGTTTTCCTCCCCACCCCTCCGCTTCCTCCAACAGCCCTACACAGGCGGGACCCCAGGAGGAACCGGAGTGACCTCCACCCTACCCCCGCCGCCCCAGGGCCCAGGCCTGGCCCTCCTGGAGCCGAGGCGCCCGCCCCACGACTACATGCCCATCGCGGTGCTGACCACCATCTGCTGCTTCTGGCCCACCGGCATCATCGCCATCTTCAAGGCCGTGCAGGTGGGAGCGGCGGCGAGCCGGGTTGGCCGCATCCCTGGAGTGCTGGGCGCCCTGGGGCTCCAGGAGCACAGGAGTGAGGGAAGCGCCTCCCTCACCCCTCCACCCTCTCCCCGTCCCCCTAGGTGCGCACGGCCCTCGCCCGCGGAGACATGGTGTCGGCCGAGATCGCTTCGCGCGAGGCCCGGAATTTCTCCTTCATCTCCCTAGCTGTGGGCATCGCGGCCATGGTGCTGTGTACCATCCTGACCGTAGTCATCATCATCGCCGCGCAGCACCACGAGAACTATTGGGATCCCTAGGATCGCACCCCGCCGGGCCCCACTCTGCGTCCCTCGGCCTCCCAGGCATCTGCCGCAGTCCGGCCGCGGACCCGGGGGACGCCCTGCACACGCGCCTCGGGGGCCGCCGGGCTGAAGTGCATCCTCAACTCGGCCTCCACGGGACCTCGGGCCGGGCGAGCACGCTCCGAAGCCAGTTCCTCAGGAACCTCTCCAAGACCCACACCCCCAGGGACGCCGCTTCCCCGGAGCACCCCCAAACGTCGGGCCCCAGGGCGCTCCAGGCCCCCCACCCCGACCACCGAGCTGGCCGGCCCGGCGCTCCGCAGTCAGGCGCCCGGCCCCCGAAGCCCCGCCTCCTCCGTAGGCTCCGCCCCCGCCCTGACGAAACCCCGCCTCCAGGTCGGCAGGCTCCGCCCTCTCCTCGCCAGTCCGGCCTCTGGGTCTGCGGCTGCAGGCCTCGCCCGGACTGGGACGGACCGGTCCCCTTCTCCGGGCTTCGGGATCGAGCCCCGGGCTAGCCACGCCTCCACATTCACCCCTATTTTGGCTAGGACGGTTTTGTCCATCCTCCGCTGTTCTCTGCGCCCTTTCTCTTGCGTTTCCCAGACCCTCTCTTATTTTTGAATAGGATTTAAGAGGTTTCTGGTTGCAGACCCTTCGCCCTGGGTTAAGAAATGGGCTTCGGTCGCTGTAAATAGTCCCTCCCACCCATTCCGTGCGGCCAGCCCTCGGCAGCCGGCCGGAGGGAACCCAGGAGCCGGCCCGCTCCCCGCTCGCCTCGGCGGACCCGCCTTGTTCTGATCTGTCTGTGCGTGCGTCTGTGTGTGCAGTTCTGAACGACGATATTAAAGAGACCCAGTGGATTCATCACCGGCAGTTCCAAAGCCCGCGCCTCCCACCCCCTACCTGTCCTTTGGGCACGCCCCTTCCAGAAAGCCTGAGGGAGAGAAAAGTGGGGAGTGGGAGAAGACGAGGTCCCAGGCGACCACTCGGGGGAGAGGCTACCTGGGAAGATCTTGGGGTGCATTCTCAGCGGGGCCTTGCCACTTGCCCTCCCCCTAGGGCTTTGGAGAGGGGAGCTCCAAGAAATGTAAGCAAAGAAGAAGCAGGCTCTTGTGGAGAAATTGTGGGAAAGGAATGCCAGGCTCCGGTAGCTGTTACTGACCCTGGGCTGGCAGGCGGCAGGCGGCTTGGCTTAGGGGGTGCCGCGCTGTCAGGGTCTGGGGACTGGGCAGGCAGCCCCAAGGAGAACATTAGCTTCTCCTGTTGCCCGGAGCCAGGAGCCCTCTGCTACCCCACGGTGAACCCAGAGGCTTCTTGGTGAGGGTGGCACCGCCATGGGCTTGGCTTGGCGTCTGGTTATGTTCTCGCCCGAGTTCTGCATTCACACCTTGTTCAGATGCTGTGCGGGATGCTGGGGAGAGCTGCCCAGCAAGCAGGCTGTCCAGGGCCTCCAGGAGCTTCCCTTTGAGGAGAGAAGCCTGGCCCTGACGAAGCGCCTGAGCAGCAGGGGCAGGCTGTGGGCACCGCGGGTTCTCCTTTGAACCTCCCACACCATATTTCTCAGAAAAAAAAAATTCCATCCCCATTTCTTTTTTGGGGGGTGGTGGTAATTTTTTTTAATAATCTTTACAAAAACAAATTTTTTTGCATCTGTAGCTTGTACTTTCTCACCCCTGAACCTCCTCACATTGTTTTCTTTGGGGAGTGTAGCTAGCAGGAAAGTGTAACTCTTTCACACCCCCATTTCTTGAGTCCTTGAAATATGCCTCTTCTGAAGTTGCTCTCAACCCACCCAGTACTACAGGTTACTCAGAGCCAAGGTCAATGGCATTTCACAATACTCTGTCTGAACCCTCTCATGCTTGTACCTTGACCCTGCACCCCCACAATGCTGGGGTCTCCTCCCCCGACCCACTTCCCCTCCACATACGACCCCACCACTGCTCCTCCTCTGCTCCCCCTTGCTTTGTCTCTTCCTTCCCCCAGAGTATCTATCTCTGCATTTTTTCTCTCTCTGAGACTTTGTCTTGCAAAGGTCAACTACTTGACCCAGCCGTTACCCCTAACCAAATGCTTCTTTGACCTACTTTTAAAAATATATATATTTATATTGGAAAGGCAGATTTACAGAGAGAAGAAAAGATGGAGAGAAAGGTCCTCCACCCACTGGTTTACTCCCTACATGACCACAATGGCCAGAGCTGAACTGATCCGAAGCCAGGAGCAAGGAACTTCTTCTGGATCTCCCACACGGGTGCAGGGTCCCAAGGCTTTGGTTCGTCCTCTGCTGCTTTCCCAGGCCACAAGCAGGGAGCTGGATGGGAAGTGGAGCAGCTAGGACATGAGCTGACGTACATATGGGACCCTGGCATCTGCAAGGTGAGGATTTAGCCACTGAGCCATCCAACTGGGCCCCAACCTGTTTCGCATCCAGACATTCTTCCAGGCCCTGCAGAATACAGCCACATGGAGTATGGTGCCAGCCCTCCAAGCTCAGCATGTCCAAACTGAATACATGGAAATCTGATTCCCTGTCTCCTTAGCTCCACTTTCCTGTCACCCATTCTAATCTGGAAACTCCATGCCACCTCTGTCACTCCTGTCTTACTTCTGGAATACTGTCAAAGCAGGTAAATTCTACAACCACATCACCTTGCAGTCCACAGGTTTTCCCCACCCCGTGCCAGAAAAAGACCTCATCTTGGGTGTTGCAACAGCCTCCCCAACAGGTCTGCCGACTACCACCCTCTTCCTGCTCCAAGCCTCCCTCAACACAGCTGCTGGATCATCCTCCCTAAAACAAACACCTCCTTGGTTTTGTTTAAATTTATCTTTTAATCCCACTTCCTGTGAACTTTTTTAAAAAAGATTTATTCATTTTTATTTGAAATATTTTAAAGAGAGAGATCTTTCATTCACTAATTCATTCTCCCAAATGGCTGCAGCAGCAGGAGCTGGGTCAGTCCAAAGCTGTGAGCCAGGAGCTTCTTCCAGGCCTCTCTCCCCCGTGCAGGCAGGGTCCCAGGCCATTAGCAAGGAGTTGAATTGAAAGTGAGGCAACCAGGACTGGAACTGGCATCCATAGGGGATTGCCAATACCACAGGCAGGAGATTAACCTACCAAGCTGTAGTGCTGGCCCCAAGAAACTAAAACGTTTTTGTTTTTAAGATTTATTTATTTTTATTGGAAAGGTAGATATACAGAGAGAAGGAGATATGGAGAGAAAAGTCTTCCATCTGCTGGTTCACTCTCCAAGCGCCTGTAATGGCTGGAGCTGAGCCAATCTGAAGCCAGGAGCCAGGAGTTTCTTCCGTGTTTCCCACGCAGGTGCAAGGTCCTAAGGCTTTGAACTGTCGTTAACTGCTTTCTGAGGCCACAAGCAGGGAGCTGGATGGAAAGTGGAGCTGCCAGGATTAGAACCAGTGCCCATTTGGGATTCTGGTGTATGTAAGGCAAAGACTTTAGCCACTAGGCTATCGCACTGGGCCCAAGAAATTAAATCTTAAGAATGAGTTTTCTGACTTGGCTCTAAACTATCAGGAACAGCTCTGCAGTCTTATTAGATTTAAAATGTTACTACACTATTTCCAGTTGTAAGGAGACTGCTGATGTCTATGGCATCATGCACACAAAATCACCAATGGATCCATCCAATCAAACACTTATAGGAAGCAAAGATCTTGGTGATGTGTACGCTACTTCCACATTTTTGTCAAACTGATAAGTTTGATGGCTCCTAAAGGTGCCTGACAAACTGGATCAAGAAAAAGAGATACTTGGGATTTGAATTTCCAGAATAAGGGCAAATGTCCTAAAAGCTCCTATATTCCGCCTACCCTCCTTACCTCCCGCTCTGGTGGAGTCTCATGTGGCCTGATCAGTGGACTCCTCACTCCAGCAGGAAGGTCTTGCTCTGTTCTCTCGGTTGGATCAGGGCAGCGGGCTCCTCCACAGAGACTCAGGTGCTCCTTGGAGCTACAGTTCTTATTACTGACTATGAATTAGAATAGTCTGGGGAACATTTCAAAATCTCAAAGCCCAGATCACATCCCAGGCCAATTAAATCAGAACCTCTGGCTGGCTGCGGGACCCACACATCCCAAGGGAACTATAGGCTTGGTGGACTTTTCTAGGGCGAGGGGCGAAACCAAAACATGGTTTCATCCAGGGCAAATGATTTGAGGAGAAAAAGCATCTACACACAGCCAACTGTCATTGGCTTTGTCTGCACCTCCGCCATTTCTTCCCATCTCAAATCTGGCTCATCTCTGGTTCTCAGGCCCTCATCAACTGAAAATTTCCACCCATCTTCGAATTCAATCAAACAGAAAGGAATTTGGCACCAGGACAAAAGACTTCTCCTCAAGCAGGCTGCTCCCAAAGGAGAGAACAGTCTTCAGATTCCATTCTCTCCCCACTACCTTCCCTCCTTTCCCACCTCCCCTCTTCTCCCTCTGCATGTAGTGCCCATGGCGCTTGCACCTGCAGTGCTGGGGACTACACAAAGATCTGGGCCCCCGTAACCTGCACCTGGGTGCTCTATTCCCCCATGAGTCAGTTATGGGCCATTGACATTCTATTTCAACTTCTGTCCCTTTGTTATCTCTCATGCTTTCAACACCCACACAGAACATGCTGTGACCCGCCCAGTTTCTGGCCTTGCCTCCAATAATCTCTCTTTCCTTGCTTCCCAATCATTTTCTCCCCACTGTGTCAGACTTTCAGCTTGGTCACCACCAGTGACTGCCACCCCTGCCATATTCCCACATCCTCAGTCTTCCTTCGCCCCCATCTGGATCTCCCACCCCCGATTCTGTCACTTTCCGTTGTGGTTTGTTCCTTCACTGACCCCCACCCCGTCTCCTGCTCTCCTCGTTACTGGATTCGGGTTCTGGAATCTGACTCTGTGACTGCTGCTTTTCTGTCTGTCCCCAAGAGTCTTGCCCTCTCCCTCCAGCACTTCTCACTCGTGGTTAAGCTTAACCTGCCTGATCCTTACTCACCCTGGAGGCTGAGCAAGCATGGGGAGAAACACACAGTCATAGCAGCTGGTCTCACTTCCTGTGGGTCCTTTGAGCAGCCTGCCAACCCACATTTCCCTACCCAGCTCACCATACCCAAATGAAACCACAAATTTACAAGATGACCACCCTTCTCCCTATTTCAGTGATGAAGCAGAAACTTTCAGAAGAGAACTTCTTTGTGGTCTCAACACAAATCCACCAGCCTACATGCATCTCTGTGTAGTCAGGCGATCTGCCCCCAACCTCCACCTCATTGGTACCCTA